TACCTATCCCACGAAACCCCAAAATTGCAACCAGAAGGTTGCCCAGTGGGATTCAAGCATGTGTGACGCTACCTGACTGGGTCAATCGATCGTCACAACCAGGACCGTCACTGGGTCGTCGTTCGATGAGTCGGGCACACCAATCACATCGCGTAAGTATGAGCACGTTCGCCTGTCCAGACGTGAAAATTCAGACACGTCCAACGTGTGTTGGTGGAGTGGTTGTTACACGCTCGCCTCGCATGTCGGATGTCCGGAGTTCAAATCCCGGCACGGCCACTGAATATGCACTGCTGATGAACTCTAGTAAGAAGGAAACTCGAGTCCAGTGTTTCCCTTTGGCGTGGACTCCCCGAACAGGAGGACGACCGTTCAGACGACAGTGGTGTGACTATGAAAAAATATCTATCTCGCGAAACCCCCAAAAAAAACTGAAGAAACTTTTTCACTGAGAGCACAAGATTCCACCTATCCGTGTGATAACTATCCTGTAGATGTTGGAAATTTAGTCGGGCATATTAGCTCAAATGAGCTGTATACCTACTAGAACTTCATTCTGTGCGTTCAGCTGAGAGCAAGTTCAAGCGAATGAGATACCTTAAAACCGAAGAATAAGGTGAGAGTTAGTCTTCGTTGTTGTGACGTCAGTTTTGGCTCGGTCACAAGAATAGATTTATCAGACAGCACACGTGTCGTAGAATTCTGAAATTTCATATGTCAAAATAGCTGGGGAACTTTTCAGTGTATCAACTGATCCTTTGAGGGAATCAATTTAAGTTCAACATTCTTGATATAGCTGTTTTTTTATTGTTGAAATACCTGCGGATAACTCCATTCGCCTCACAGATCGAATTCCCAGCTAACTGGGCATTTTCATTTCATCATTCTTCATCCTATGAGCTACATAAGTTCATCTAGTTATTCAAACTCTTTTGAAGTTGAAACCTTGATTAACATGAAGTAATCTATTTGGCTAAATTGAGAAGAACGTATGCGTTTCTACAAATGTGTCTTTTGAATATTCTTACCAACACTTGTGTTGTCACAGTGCGTCAGCAGTTTTTATGAAAAATGACACAATACACCATTCCGCCTCAGAAAAATAATCGGACACCTTCCAACGTATTTCGCTGACGCAGTAAAACTGCGAGACCCGGTTTGACAGTTCCGTTGCGTGGAAAAAAATCATCGATTTACGGATAACCACAGGTTGTTAGGCTCTCCCCCCAGTCGTTCAGCCTAACGTTTTTGCTAAGCATTTTATCAAACTTCTCAACTGCTTTAAATTTACGAAGCATGTGAGTTGAATTTGTTTTCCGTAGAAGGCATGTACTCAAAAGCATCTACTCACTTTGACATTCACGTCCTTCTTATTACTTGTTGTCACTATTCAAAAATAAACATAAAATGTACACAGAAACCAATCACTGCTCTCGTTTGGATCACAAATTGTGACAGTCATCCCTATTTTTATAAATACCTATAATGAACACTTGCCGACAAACCAATTAAAATTGTCAATTGATGACAATCTTTACGGCGTTCTGTGCATCACCTTATATCATCACTTTCGGGCTGCAAGGGTTGCCAGTTTTCGCGAACAGTTTTGTAAAAATCCACTGCGTTTAAAATATAGGCATAAGAAAGTAATCAATGATGCTTCATTTCACGTTATAGAGCCCCCTGGAAAACCGACAATAACTGGCTACGAACCAGGAAATCTTTTCCAAGAGGAAACTAACCTTACGCTTGATTGTGAGGCCACGCCAGGAAGTCCACCAGGTTACCTTCTGTGGATGACCAGTATGTTCTTCTTATAGTCATGCCTAAAACTCATGAAAGTACTTTCCTACCGATGTGCGAATTTCATCATAAACTTTCTCAATTGTAGGTTTTGATCGGAAAACGGATGACGAACTGCAACTGATCAACTCTACGTCACGAATGAATGCCCAATCGAAGCTTACATCCTCTTTTGAGATAACCCTGAATCGGGCCAATAATGGTTTATCCATATGGTACGTTGGTAACCGCCGACCGAAAGCAACACTGGTACTTTTTATCTGTCCTGCTGTCTAACTGTGTTTTCTCCTCCAAAAGGTGCGTTTCAGTAAACGATGGATACAACGTATCCGAACGTCAAACAAGCTTACCCGTCAGACTTGAAGTGGCCTATGCGGCGACCACAATTAATCTCACCGTATCCGATGGTTTCGGAAGGCTGATTGTTCCACGCGACGGTATTCATCGAATACCGAAAACAATACCTGACAACCCGTTTGCATTCATCAATTCGTCGGTGGCAACAGCTGAGTCGGATACGATAATTTCGATTACCTGTCACGTGGAAAGGTCCAATCCACGCCCCCTTATCCAGTGGAGGAGGTACGATTGTCCAGTGACAACAAATGTCTCTGGCAACTACTCACTGGAAGAAAGTGCAATGAGGAAGCACTGTGCTGTCACCCCGCTTAAAGGTATGCCGTTAGCTATTAAAAGCTAGTGCCTCTGCCTCAAAAACTTTTATTGTGTTATTTGAAATGATCTGGATCTTGCTGACGACAGACAAACGCTGAGTACAAAAAAGCCGTAAACAAAAGAGGGATTCGAGTGACATTCAGTAAACGCTAACACAGTTTGCCGAGAAATTTAAAACTTTACTCACCTACAAATTGCCATTCAACTAGGGAATAATTCTGAGGACATAGTGGGGATTAAACTCAGCTGATGAACCCAAAAAAGAGCGAAACCGGTAGTGGTCAAATTGATTTCTTCAAAGATGTAAGCAGCCTTCTTGAGTATGCTTGTTATATTTACAAACGGTGTGTCGTAGTATGTATCAGAATACTACTAAAAATAGAAGTCAGGCAATATTTCATCCGTGATGGAAACAAGATAAATTGGCTGACAATCCGTTCATTATGAGACATCATATGCACCTCATTCAGTGATCGTGGAAACATTGGGAGATATTTCTTTTGAAGGTAAACAGGTATCGTTTGTAAGACAATCTGAGATAAAGGCACATTCATGGGCTTGAGGAAACCCAGAACATTATATCATTTGGAATAAATGTAGCAGACTCATACTGTGTGATAAGCGGTGTTAGCTAACCGTGTTACATGTGGTTGACATCCAGATTAGGTGAGAAAGAAATAAGGTGGGAGAGCCATCTGGAATATACCCGGTTTTTATTTCATTTTATTGGCAATATGGAAGGTCTAGGGTGTGTGTAAAAATCATTTAAGCGATAGCAACTTAAATAATGGACACAACAAGCTAATTGATAACGCAAAGGCCATGCGAAACAGACCAAGGAGCTTCGAGCAGGCTCGTGAGACAATGTGAGATGTAGGGGTTAATGTGAACGCCTTTCTGTTGTGTAGAAACTCTCCGGAAAAGTGACTCAACCTTCCTGGTGTAGACAAATACGTTTAGCACTAATATCAGTGTCAATTTGTCGAAATATAGGTAGCTCGGGTGAGTTTACTGGTGGCAGTTCGCAGCTGAATGAGTCAACTGGGCACTGACGGTGTCTCCTCGACTGGGGACGGAACGTTTGCAAGCCAATAGCCAAACTCGGCGAACAGATCAACTGCCATCTGATTAACTACCAACTGAATTCAGTATTGTGTTACTTGGATAGTTGCGTAAAGTATCTACTGGTTGACCAATAAATTGATTAATTCGTTTTCATCATTTATACCCCTTTGTCAACGCCCACGAGGTAATGCATATATGGGCAACATCAAAAACCCTTGTGCCTCCAAATTGGTAGCCTAGAGAGATGGCGTAAGAAGGTTCGTTGGATACCTGGAACATCAATCTCTTGTTGATAGTGTGATTAGATTGGGGATTTTTGTGGAGATTTCGTCCTGTAAGTGAAGCCAATTATGCCGAAAAAGCCGAGAAGCACTGTACAGCTGTTTCATCCTTATTGGGAATCATCAGCAGTGCGCATCTCACGAAACTCCGAAGAGTCTCGAAACCGCGACCTCCCGGCTAGTAGTTTGAACACTTAACCGTTCGGCCACGAGTGGCTGATCAGCAGTGTGATCAACTCGCACTTAGACGGGATATAGCGCCGCTCATCCTTCAATCACGGGATCCACATCACGCGGTCACACGTGTTGACTGGCTCCTCGAGCAACGTCCTGTGTGCAGCACATTCAATTGAAGAACATCATGAACAAGAAATTCAATTGGGTCTTCAGTGAAAACCAAATTGATTTGCAAATAGGAATGTCCTTTATGAGAACAGGTAGTAAGGATTATGCCTCGTGAAGAATGATCAAAATTGAGTAACATATTGTGCGATTGGTTTCACTGATAGTCCAAAAGATTTGAACAAACTGAAGAATGATCGTTTTAAAATCCTGGCAACAATACTGAATCAGGCATAATTTATCAAGGGGTTCACGGTAGATGTTTTTTATCAGGCGTTGACGACCTCTAACACGCAGCAACAATCCTCCACAATACTTTTGATTCATGTTTTGTTAAACCGTGGTTTCGACTTCCAATTTTGGGTTCTAGTAGTCTGTCAGATTTGTTCGCCCTGGAATATGGACAAGTGTGCTGCGTAGATCGCAACCAGCTCCAAACCTGTCATTATATCAGTCTGCTATTCTGAAGTCTCCTGACAGTCTGCAAGACAAAGAACACCATTGTTAGGGGGAAACAGTTGAGAAAGATATCACAGTTTGGAGATTTGTTGGGCAGAGCATTTTTTCTGAATAGGTTGGGTTAAAATTTAGCACAATCGAAACTGACAGACAGCATTTTTAGGAGATTAGAGATACGTCGTTCTTCCTATCTTACGAAACCAAGTTGTAACCAACTGACTGGGACGTTATAGTTCAAGTAAATAGTAAGCGCAACCCAGTTGGAAAAAGCACTGGCCAGTTGTAAAACTCGCCTCACTAATACCACAAACGTAGGAGAGCCCCATGCTTAAATACATGATTGCGTCATATATAATACTTGATTCATGGGTTACCTCCACTGACTCAGACTGCGAATTTGGATGCCTACGATATGACCATGTGTCAGTGAAATTGTTGGTTAACCGCTTGGTGAGGAAGACAGGGAATGAGATATATTCATGCCAAACTTAATATGTAGTTAAAGAGTAACTTTATGCCAAATCCAGTGGATTGCCTATGGATGACTGCTAATAAACTGTCTTTGGTAAAAAATTACTTGCAGTCAGCGAAATGCAACTAACAAGAGAAAGTTTGTAGAATTTTTATTGAAATCATCGTGGTGATAAATCTCTCAGTGAGTTTTAGTAACCAGTTAGTGGATATATTGTTGGGCAACGTTTCGCTTTTGACACAAAAGCTTCGTCAGACCAAGTGAATAAGCTACCAGGTTGATCGGGTTTTAAGGTGGTCGGGGAACCAATCCGCGGGAGTTCTTATGACGATCCGACTTGACCAGTGCTGTGTGTTCAGTCTGATGTTCCTGTTTGTTGGTTAGTGCGGATAGATAGATTGGTTAGGGGGGTAGATTTGTCTTCATGATGAACCCGGATTTTTCGTCCTTGGTTTTTCAGTCTAGGACACCTTAATGGAAAATTTCTCTTGGAGTCGTTCACAGATTTCGTTCACTTGTGTTCGTCAAAGGGGGGCGGGACAATTGGCTTGGGGATGGGGGTGGGGTGGTTAATTGGATCCAGCTCTACTTGGATTTTGTATTTTTAGACCCAGACCACTACCCTGATAACTGCACACCGCCTTGTGTCGTCTTGGCTGACCTCAGACCGCTCTCCACACGCTTGCAAGTTCTACGCCCTCTATTTTATTCACGCTGGGATTCTTGACGATTTCCACCGCCTCGGCCATTAGTCGCTATGGGTTTGAACCCGTCTCTGGATGTCCACATTCGCTAAATCTGTCCTGTGTCCAGTGTCCAGTGCATGCCCTACCATTGCCGAATCTTTGACTATCTCCTGGCATTCATCTACGTGGATTTATTGTTGGGCACTGTTTTCCCGGTCTGGAACACCTTAATGGAATATTCCTCTTAGGGGTCGTTCACAAATTATGTTCGCCTGTGTGCATCGAGGGATGCCAGGACAATTGGATTGGCATTGGGGATTGTTAAGTGGATCTTACTCTGCTTGAAGTTTGTAGCCAGACCGTTTTGCTGATAACTGCACACCGGTTCGTCTCATCTCGGTTGTCAGTTCTACCCCCTATTCTATTAGCCCTGATATGCTTGGCGTGTTCCACCATCTCGGCCACCAGTCATTTTGATGTGAAATTAGTCCCCATGTCCACATATTCCAAACCTATCCTGTGCCCAGTTTCTAGCGCATGCCCTGCCATTGCCGAATCTTCAACGATCACCTAATGTTCATCCATGTTTCTTGTGGGTCTGTTACGGAGCTTACGCTCACGGATTCTGGTGTGCGATTCTCTGGCTATCTTACCTATACAAACCTTCGTATAGTTGTCACATTTTCCTTCGTATACACAGCTCCTAGTCCCATCAACTCAACCGGAAGGTGATCATATATCTGCACCAACACTGAGTGTAAAGCCTTTCTCTTTTGGAATGTCACCCCGATGTTAGCCGCATTTGGTACCCTTCTAAGGACTTCAAATGTTCCTGTTTAGTATGGAATGACTGTCTTACCGATCCACTCATTTTAGGCCTTGGCGTTGGGACCAATACGCGTCCTAAATACAGCTTAATTTAATCCATCAGGTATCCGCTATCTTGAAATCGCCTTTTTACTGCAAGTTGTGCTACTCTTTCGTTGACCCTCTCGGTGGAAAGTGCTCTTGCTCCATTGAATTTCGTTGAAAGCATACTAGCATATACTGCTTGTGGGCACGCTGAGAGGTAGTTTAAGACAGCATCACTACCTGTTGATTTCCGGTAAATAGTGAATTCTAGAATAAATCATGTATGCTATTCTTGGTAGGAGACTAGAAACGAGCGAGCACTGCGGTCTCTTAATGTGACTTCATACCCTTAAAAAAACAAAGTTTGACGTATTTTCCCACAGGTACAGAATATTTGAAAAGTATACGAAGCCCCGACAATTAGATTGGTTATAAAGGAACGCACCGAATAGACCGCTGTAAATCCAAAAGGAGTTACAAAACGCTTTCCAACAAGCGCCAAGTTACCTTATAACCTACAAAATATCACAGAGACCCTTTAAAATTTGCCCCACATTGGAATACAGTTTGCTGACCGGAGACAAAGTTTTAGTGTACGGGAGAATAACCATTTGGCACAGCTGGATCGGAAAACGACTGGCAACAAGGATCAGGCAGTTACTCATTGTCGAGCAGATTTTACGACGGAAATAGCAGCATGAATCAAGAAGTTCCTTGAATCTATTTACAACCTGCATCATTCCGGAACCTTTTTCCAGCTTAAAGTATGCCGAAATATAATCATTTTTTCACGTTGCGGTTTGAACATATATTTAGGCAAATCATTGGAGGTGGACGGAAAGGTTAATGCAGACGTCATGGAGCAGTCACAGATGCGGTGCTTAAGAGCAAGCAATATACACGGTCATTTAAAAGCGCACATAGCTCCAATGCTTTTGAGTAAAAAGGTACCAAGTTATACTGTGATAGAGTGTTGTAAACACTACCCTTATCAGCCCTCACAGTTTGTCTTGCATCGTTGATTGATTGCGAGCATTACTGAACAAAAGTTCAGCTACAATAGTCAAATATTTAGGACATCGACATCCCTATCAAGCCCCTCAAGGCCAGACTAACCGCATCAACATGTTAAAGGTAACGTTGTAAGCGCTCATAATTTATTTGAACATTTAAATTTTATTATGAAATGCAAAAGTGGAATCAACAAATCCCGGACGAAAGCCATTGAAAGCAAGCGAAGCTATAATAACACCACCAATAGAATGAGAAGCTTACAAAATCACCAACTGTTATTTGAAAACCGTATCGACTAAAGAGTTCGTTTCATCTTTCCCGCCCACATCATTCTTCTGGTTAGCGCGGCATATTTTTTTGGGAGTCTCATGGCATCCTGATTCACGTAGACGCACGCAGCAAAGGCATAACAAACGTTGAACTTTTGAGGCGCCTTTGAGAGTAGTCTGTGCAGTGGGTTATCTGAGTCCATGAAAGTCGTTTTTTCAGTGATTTGAAGCAAAGTTGGTCCCATACGGAATTTATTTACTTTCAGGTGCCGGAGGAAGGACAGATGTCCACAGCCCCTTTGGGTTAACTTGAAATATTGACCTTTAGATAAACATTCCTCCTAATGCTACACTTTACATCTGTTTTCAAACTCAGTGCACGCATGTGAAATACAGTAGTGTGCGTATTAATAAATCCAAAGTATCTCTACAATATATGATTATTTCTGTAGGTGAAGATGATAACGCACAATCTACGAATGTCGTTCGAAGTCGCATATCCATTTCTCTGAACTGGTCCCACCATGGCGATTTCATCGAATGTTTCACACAACCACCCGCTACCTACCACTCCGGTCAGGATGTCTCGTCTGCTGAATCTAACTCACGTTTTTTATCCACTGGTTCTTCATCGGGTCTCAGGGAATATGTGGTTCTAAACATCCGCTTCAAACCCGTATTTATACGACCGTCGGATCACAGACAACAGCGTGCGCAGCAAATTGCTATGGACGACGAAAACTACCCGACGCCACAGTACATCGCTATAGAAGGTAGGTAAAACTCTTGGATAGATGTTTACCATTCTAGTTAGCCTTGCCATGCATCTGAGTTACTATCGATAAAATAGCTCTAGGCTAATTTGTCGCTGCAGGTACCCTTGAATTTTGTCATCAAGAGCATGCTTTCTTCCGCCTCATTCTTTCCGAGGCAAATCTTTGAAACTACTACGTATTATTCGTTTTTCATTCACCCAGTCGGTCGCTTTTGACAATTTGGGCTCGACCTGTGCGGTTCGTCCAGCCACACATATACGTGCTTCATTTTTAAGAGCACCTAACAACCCTGCTCACTCATAGAGGTTATTTCAAATTCAACTCAAACATAATAACAGTAAATAGGGCCGATCTAGATGCCAAAAGTTGGGATCAAGTTACCGGCGGTTTTCGGTAAAATATGTTAACTTATATATTACTAGAAACCGTTGAAAACGCGGAATTCTTATGATTTCATGGTAGCATTTTGAATTCTGATAGCGCAGAATAAGAAACATCCACGTGACGTTTTGAAATTCTACTTATGGCAATTTTGATTTGCGACTGGACGAGTTGGATATGTGGTGAAGTTCAGGACACAGTCTAACTTGGGACACTCAGAAAATGAAACCAGCCTAATGCGAAAGTTCATAAGCATGACAGTTAGTTCAAACTTCATCTCATTTCCTTACCAGTTCTAAATAAACAATAGCCGCCTACCAGAAGTTCTAGGCAAATGATCTTTACCACAGGGTGTATGAAAACCGTCCAAGAAAAATGTTGAATGTTGCCTGCATTACCATAAATCTCATTTTGTTTAGTCTATGAAGGTTGTTCCGTCTTGCAACGAACACCATTATGCTAACCTTGCGGGTTCCTGTTCGATGCATTTATCATGTTTTTGGGTGTGCCTATCACATGAATTTGGCGACTTTTTTGTTTCAACTTCAGGTCATATCTAGATGGGTTCAAGAGCTAGAGTTTATGATATGGAGCAGTTTCTCCAAGATCTTCAAAAGATCAACTAGTTCTGTCTCTTCATATATTTCTCTGAGACTAAATGTTTGAAACACCCAGTTATAGGTTGCTGGTCAACCACAAACAATAATAAGAGCTGACATGCATTTTTATCCGGGTACTTTTTGTCAGTTGCACATTCTGAACCCACTGCCGCGCCATCAACTGCTGTACGTGGTGATTTTCATTGTTCTGCAGGTGAATGTCATAAAAAGCTTATTCGAACGTCATATATATGGGGTGGTATTTGATGCAAAGTACGGCAGTGAAGCATCGTGGTTGAACACTGATGTCATGCTGTTGATGATTGATTGATTGATTGACGTTACCTAAAGTAATTTTGGTAAAGTACTTTACAGAGAGACGAGCAAGCCTTTCACCCGGACGAGGGCGATGGGCGTAGAAGAGACGATTACATCTTAACCATCAATTTCCGACATATTTTCATATTTGCGAATAAAAACTCGTCTCTACCGATTCGTGGTTCATGCAGGATGATCTCAAGGCATATTTTTGAATTCCGATATCAAAATGTTCTTTAAGCTAATTTATTATTATTCTGGCTCACTAACTCGTGATATCGTGCATCCATATCGCATCGTATATTCTGTTTACCGGATGCTACCCAGAGCAATGGCGCATTTATAAAGTCCGGTACATTCCTGTTCCAACCAGGTCACACATGTAAAAAGGACACCATCTGTTGTTTACACTAGGGGCAGCTTGCTTACGGACACATTTTGCAAAAGATATTATCGTATATTATTATATATTATTATATTATGTAACATGCAAGCGTCTTGATCATCTTATATCTTGACCTTGTTACGAAACACTGCTTTCAAAATCCCTAAACTCAGTTTTGTTTCATCATCACGGCACAAGTAATAAATAATCATATTGAATCATTAAAGATTCGTAGGAAAGAATACCCTTAAAATGAAAAGAATAACTCGATACACACATTTCCTTAATGTATAACTGCAATGCAATGCAATATTGGATCATTCATGCTCAGGACACAGCAGATCGGCTAATTCTCCCATGTGTTGAAATTTAGACGTTAGCCTCACGGCATCTGCTCAGCATCAATTTTTTTCTTTCATGCAATATCAATAAGGTAGAACTGGTCGATCTTGGAAAAGGAATCCACTGCACATGTGGTCCTGAACGGATTTATACTCTTAACATGAAAGTGTAAGGTGCGGTTATTTGGTGACAAACGTCCTTCAGGTTCTATCAAACAGGTAAAAGAATGCTCAGTAATCCCACCATCTCGTTTGTCATCGTTGATCAAGTTAAGTGCTGTGAAGTCGCCATTAGACAAACCCTGATATTTTCACACGGCAAACGGGAATATGCTTCATGCAGCCCATAAGCATTCATGGATAATTTCAGGGATCAACCCCCTTGAACTGCTGCTCGTGACAAAATCTACCATAAAATTCCTCGCGCGACGGACTACTTGAAATATGCGTGCTAAGCGTGGTTATGTAAGTCGCAAACACTGACTGTGTAATACATCCAAACAAGAAAACTGAAGATACGAAACAAGATGTCCGAGTATTTTCTCATTACCCATCTTCTGAGTTCACCACATCAAGCGTGTCAGACAGGGCTGTCTTCTTTCATCTTTCCTCTTCAAATTCGTCATTGATACGATCATGGAAGACTCACTATCAGCCTCTAATGTCTATAGGGTCGAAGTGTTCGCGGGCGTCCGCTGGCATATGTGGAGTACGCGTATGGCATAGTTCTCCATGGATCTGACCCGTGGTAATGCAAACAATGTTAAATAATCTAAATAATTCCGCTTTACGGTTTGGCGTGCGCCTCACACCTGTAAAGTGTAAAGTGCTACTGCAAGACTGGGTGGGTTCGAACCCTCGCCGCATGTTTGCGGATGAATCCATTGAGGTCACAGACAAAGTTGTTTAGCTGGACAGCTGTATCAGTCCAAGTGGTCTTGCGAAATATGATTTTTCATCCGGATTGGGAAGGCCAGCACAGCCTTCGTGAACCTGCGTCACCTGTGGCATGAGCGTGATAGCAGCTTATCCGTAAAGAATCGAGTTTACAATGCTGCGGTGCACTCCATATTACTGTACGGAGCAGAAACCTGGACGGAAACCTGGACGCTGTGCGCTGAGGACGTCAAAAGACTTTCAGTGTTTGACCATCGATGTCTTCGGAGCATTCCCCGAATCTGGTGGGAACACCGGATTAGCACTGCTGAAGTTCGTCGAATGGTATCCGGGAGAAATAAATCACCCTCGATAGATGAACTGATCACACTGCATAGGTTACGCTGGCTTGGCCACGTGCTGCGTATGCCGGTCGAACGACCTCCTCGAAGGGCTCTTCTCGCACAACCACGTGAAGGGTGGAACAGAGCGGGAACAGAGGCGGTCAAAGAATGACTTGTCAGCGAAGTATAAAAGCCATTTTCAGCATGCTCAGCTGAGCTGGTCATTGCCGTCTTCCCAGATGGGCCACCGAGACGAGCCACATCAATGATTAGAGACATTGTCAGACATGGTCCAATCGTACCCTCAATGACGCTCGTGTTTCTCAGCTATTATCATCAATGCATAGCTCCATTTCAATCCCCAGAATAAACAGTCCACTGACAGTGCTGTATTTACGCACCGATTTACCAGCTCCCACCACCAATGCGGAGCTACGTACCCCACATCCCCAAATCCTCGGTGAACGAAACTGTGGCAGGTAAAACCACTGTGACACAGAATGTATGACGCAGACACTGTATCACAGATGACTGTGATTATGCCGACCTCATTAAACACCATATATTACTGCTTCATTATCCGACTGCAACGGTGAGCTGTTTGGGACTAAAGTTAACGCGGTTCGTTTAATAAGGACCTCCTGGTTGGAATACAGAGGCGTGCTGCGGTATAAAAATGAGCGGGATAAATCAAAGCGTGAACGATAGCCTGATATTTACCTGGGTTTTTCTTGAGGAAAATTATTTATCACCTTCGTTATTATTATACTGGACTCCTTGGTGGTTACCCGCTTGAGATAGCCTGTTGATAAAGCACAAACCTACTCACCGGAAAGTCCCTGGTTCGAACCCGACATCTTGATTGTTCCTCTGTGAGCTTTGGCAATCTGAAAGTTTCTCAGCCATCGGCAACTAGATACCAAAAATGGACGTCTGTCTGTTGCGAATAATCTAAGCGAAACGTTCTAGTCAACGTTACACATACTATTCCGGATAAACGTTCGGAATTGCAACCATAAGCTGGCTTAGTAGTTAGAAAACTGCGTCGTCTGGAACATCTGAGCATTTGCTACTTGTTTAATGAAGATTGTTGTCGTTAGTCCTTTTTTCCAAAAAATTGAAATGTTTCCTCGGAAACAAACGACTACTATCTATAATATAACCTTTTGACACGAAACCGTTTGCATGTAAACTATGTACAGCAAGCTTTTTTTCTCGTCAACACCCGATTCATCAGCTTTTCTCTGTTGTAAAGCTATTCTTCAAGCGCTTTTGTAACTTTCCGGCGGTATATTGGCACCCTGTGGTCTACAGGCGCCGGTATTTCCGGAGACAAGATATATGACTTTGGGGTTCTGGGAAAAGCTTGGCTCGGATACTGTTTTTAAAAAAATTGAGCACCATGGAAATTTTACAATCAAAACACTGCACAGTGGAGTCAGATACCATAAACTGACATTTCGGTTGCCGCGGCTAGACGTTCTCAAGGATTTCTAAAAGCAGTTGAATGTGATTAATTTTACAATCAAAACACTGCACAGTGGAATCAGATACCGTAAACTGACATTTCGGTTGCCGCGGTTAGACGTTCTCAAGGATTTCTAAAAGTAGTTAAGTGTGATGTACGTGCAGATTCGCTTGGGACCGCTGTTTTGTTTTCTGTTTGGTGTGCTCCTGAGATCTGGTGCCAATAAGGTGGGTCCAGCGTGTGCTTGTATGTTTCAGCTCTGTGTGCGTGAACACATGGTTGTGTGATCACAGTGATCTGAGATAACCCCATTTGTTGATGCGCTGGTAGTGAGGTCATGGCTACCAAGGTGTGCAGGACGTCCAAGCTGGATAAACGGGATGCAGGCTCCATCACCGCACTTGTTACGGTTCGGTGGCGCATCGTGGAGTGTTCAGGTTTCTTGAACTCGACTGGACTTCACGAATGAAAACGCACATATCGTTTGTGCTTTGTTTGTGGTTCGAGCATGTGGTTGCTGGGCTGTCTGGTTCATGTGTTTGGCCAGACTTTCTGCACAGGGAATTTGAGAGACGCAGCAGTGCGGGTCCTTAATCTTGGCGAGGTGTTGTTGTGAGGTGTTATCAACTCGGAAGTGTTTTAAAACCATATTCCCGCAGTATCTTTCGAGTGGCCTCTGAAGTGCTATTTCCGCGGGGTATTTCCAGTACGCTGCGATAGAACCTCAAGAGTTTCATTAAGATATGACCGTGCTTGAAGTTACAAAATTGTGGTGTTATCAGCTTCAGGTTCACTTTTTAAATTTCATCACCAAGAAAGCTAGTTTTTACTGAATTGGTTTCCGCCTGTATTCTAGTTTTGTTTAACACTGTTATAAATGCAGAACTTAATTACCTTCGGAGGGATTCGTTCAGAAGCTGCTTCACTGCTTCGTCATCATCGTCGCCTCTCTGAATCGCAGTAAGATAAGAGCTGGCTTCTCTCGTCATCAATTTATTCCGCATTTTGTATCACAGGTTTTCCTGGCTTTTTGACAAGGCCCTTAAAGCAATCGGTAATGCGAAACCGACTGCTGTGGTTTCACGGTTTTCTATTATCTGGGTAGAGTAAAGTTAGACCCGTGATCACCATACCAGGTGCTGCTTCAACTAAGAATTTTGGGACGGGACCTTTTACGGTTGCTTTGTGGTATTGCGATGACCAATCTTCTGCATTTCCTATCTGGAATTCTACGAAATGCAAGGATTCAATATTTACATCCATCTCTAATTTCAGTGTCCACATTTTATCAATTCAGACATTCTAGCCTACCCTAACTGCTAGATGATGGGGCTAACATAACCGAATTAGGTGCGTGATTTTTGTGCAAAAAGCGTTATTTCCTATCCACCGGATGCCAATGGATACATGGGCTAAAAAGTGTTATAGTGGATAAACAGCATGATTTTTTCTTCCGGTTGTACGTCAGTATAGCATTGGGGGGTTGTTTGCAAAAAACGAATATATTTTGTTCAATAAAATAGCTACCTAAAGCACATCCAACTTTCTGATAAATGGATGATAAACACGGTGTTTCACTGACTTTGTTTCGCCCAGCTAAGTGAGATTGAAAATCGAGAGGGATAGCGTTTATGACGGCGCTTCGATTGCAAAAGTCGTGGGTCGCAAAATGAACTTTTTCAAACTAATGCAAAACACGTGGTCTCATCCGTTAAGTCATCTGTGTAACATCGATGTAGTTGACGCGCAATCGTTTGTTGGACCACTGACGATCTATCGCGCTATCCTGATGATACTTTTGCTATAGTTCACAGCGGATGAAGTACAAAACATGTGTGGTTACTGGAACCATGAAGCTAGGAAACCCTTGTAGTTCCTAGATTTTCAGATGCAAATAATCGAATATACAGGCGATATATCAGATCGAAATCGCGTGTGCGTGCGAAACTATCTTGGTTCTAAGTGCTTCTGCCCCGTAAAAACAAAACAAATGACAAGGATGGCTACGTTCCTATGCCGACAGCTGTCACAGCTCGCTTCCGTCTATTTGTATTGACCAAGTCTGATGGCATAGCAAATAGGTTCCTTTTGTTGACAAGTTTTGTGCATGCGTCAGTCGTGAATGACAACCGATTAACGAAACCTCGTGACAGTTTTACCCGCCGAATAACTGTGGCCGAGTGCGAAAGTAAATCGTAAATGTTGTCACAAAGAACGCAAAACAATGGCAATGTCTTAGTGAATTCCTCGAAAAAATCAATGATAATTCAGATACTAAAATTCAGAATGCTTGCATAAGTCAACAGATGGTTAAGAAAAAAAATGGACGTGCTGAGCGGAGTGGATGTTTCTGTTATAGTGGTTGGGAAGATTGATTCTGACTCAAAACCTTTACACATAATATAGATGCCGTTGCAGAACCTGAAACCGGTCAGAAATGTGCACACAAAGTATCACCTTTTCAATGTATAGCTGAATAGTCGGGAAACACATGATTATAAGATAGTTTACAACTGAGATGTGGTCAGCAAACACGGTTTTAATAGAGGCGTTCATTCCCACATATGTATATTTTATGTCTCAATACTTTATCTAATAAATATATGGGAGTACTCAAATCTCAGGTGTCCACACAGAAACTTATAATAGAAGGATACAAGAAACCGGTAATGCATAATCCATATACACGGTTTTACTAACCGTTAGATGAGCAGAATAGAGTCGCACCTCAAACATATTCACTAACTGTTCAGAACGGGCTCTATGTACTGTCAGCATTACCTTACAATATTCAGATTTCTAACAGCGAAGAATTGCCAAAAACGAATCTCATTAAATCTGTGCAACACTCTATGAAATCTGAGTTTGCCTGCCATGTTCCTCTAACAAAATCTTTTCAAGTCATTCTTTGAGGCAACCTTGGGCAGTCTCACAAAACTCGTAATGGTGTTGCAGAGAGTCTCCTTGTCCCTGCTTCCTTTATGCTTCTCAGTCAAAATGCCGTTGTATGATTTAGTCCGCACACTGGAACTGTCGCCGAGTATGCAAATAACAATATGAGTTTTTTCGCTTCAGGTGGGACGGTCGACTTAGATTTGACACCTCTGGCCAATCCACCAGTTCACAAACTCGTATGGTACAAAGAAAATCAACAACTGATATCCTCGCCGGCACACACAAACCGAGATGGAGGACAAATGAGAATTTTTATCGAAAATTCCAGGCTACATATCAGCCCGGTAGAAGTGAGCGATATGTCGTACTATACCCTTATCGCGTCAAATACGATGGGATCAACTCGCTTCAAATTTTTCTTGAACGTTACATGTGAGTTGGGGTCGTTCGGGAATTATGGTCAGTTGGCCCAGTGACACCGGTCTCTTGTTGTTTAATAGCAATGCAGTTTTATGTCTTCATACTTATTTTTAAGCTTTTATTTAAATGACCTATTAAAGAAGCTGACTCATTGTCTAGCTATTAAGATTTTACGAATATGCTTGAAAAGCTAGTTCAACAAATTGTTGGATTATTGCCAAAAACTACACTTTTTCCTACGTATATCATTCAAGAATCTTGAAAAATAGGATTTCACACGTCTATGTCAATCTCTTGTAGAAGAAAGGATTGAGAACTCAGTTAGGAGCATCGTCACCACGGGTGCATCTGCTAATGTTATACCGACTCAGCGGAGACTGAAACAAATCAATCTGGTGATTGAAAACCCTCTCGTAAAACCACTCGTTCCACTACTGCCATCTACAATACTGGTAAGAGGTGCGATATTCGTTTACCAAAACAATGGATAAAACCGAGTCCTAGTTGTGGGACAAAATAGAGTAATACTGTGATCGAATGCACTTCAGAGTGTCACATTTTGCTATGAGAAGTGATTATTTGTTCTCTATGCAAAGTAGACGGGTTTGGTAAGAGACTACCACGCTGTGGACCACAAAGTTTCAATGATTTAGGCATTGGCTGTCAAATATAATTGCTGGAAGCATCTGGAGTATTGAAGCAAGAAAACTGTAACCAGTGTAACATACAATATGACAACACCAAAACACATTTTTTTATTTAGGGGTAGTGCTCGTACATGGGATAATAATCTGTCCTCTTTTCCTTATAAAAAGACGCGTCCATTGTAGAGAGGATGTTGGCGAACGGAGGGTTGCTAGGGTGGGTCGGTAGGCTGCAGGGTCGACAGTTTTATATAAAACTGCTGCCGTATCGTACAAAAAGCCGTTCAAAAATCAAGAGAGCCAAGGTTTCAGCAGTGCCTGATGCACAAAGTTCCTCCGATGTTAGTGGCATGCTCGCTCACCTCACGGTAGTTAAGGTCAGTGGGTTGTGGCCGGGAATCACATACTGTGATGTGGAGCTCCATATAATTGGAGCAAGTTGCCGAACATTTTACTGCTAATTTGTATCTTGTTCATAGTCAGACCACTCTCGTTTGAACGATCGTGTTGCCGTTCTGGCGTAATTATTCCGATGAGTTCACACCAAAGGGAGGCAATGGACTCGAGTTTCGCTCCTATTAGAGCTCAACAGCAGTGCATATCTAATGGCCGTGCCGGGATTTGAACCCCGGATATTTGACATGAGGGGCGAGCGTGCAACCACTACTCCACCAGCGCATGTTGAACTTATTTGATTTTCCACGTGTGAACAGGCGAACGCGTTCATACTTGATCGATGTGATTGGTGTGCCCGACTCATCAAACGACGACCCAGTAACGGTCCTGGTTGTGACGATCGATTGACCTATCGCGCAAAACCCCAAAATTGCAGCCAAAAATCTGCCCAGTGGGGTTTCAAGCGTGTGCCACGCTTCCTGACTGGGAAGTCCTGACTGGCGGGCCAATCGATCGTCACAACCAGGACAGTTACTGGGTCGTCGTTTGATGAGTCGGGCACACCAATCACATCGCTCAAGTGTGAACACGTTCGCCTGTTCAGACGTGATAATTCAGATGCGTCCAACGTGCGCTGGTGGAATAGTGGTAACACGTTCGCCTCGCATGTCAGGTGTCCGGAGTTCAAATCCCGGCACGGCCATTGGATATGCACTGCTGATGGGCTGTAATAAGAAAAAAAATCGGGTCCATTGCTTCCCTTTGGTGTGGTTTCACCGGAATAATTACGCCAGAACAGGAACACGGCCGTTCCAACAGGAGTGGTGTGGCTATGAACGAAAATACCTATCCCGCAAAACCCCAAAATTGTAATTTGTATCTATCACCCCTTTTATTATTTCAACAGGTATTAGAGCAAAGCTTTTCAACGAGGAACACTGTTTCATGTTTAGTCATGGAAAAATTTACCCAATGTGTTCATTCGTACCCACAAGGACTGTAGTCAGTTATCAGGGGCTATCGTCTTTTCGGTAAACAAAAAAAAGGCGACCCATGTCGTTCGCACACGTGATCTTTATCGCAAATGACAAAATGGCCGACAATCTAGCGTAGCACAGAATGTTAGTTCTCATCAGCATACCTCGTCTTTATTCGAACAAAAGTCCACGTGACGCACGTCCAGCGCACGAGTATTATTCAGGGCGATAGGGTATTTTATACAACAAAACAGCTCAACATTTTCTGTGATAAACTAGATTATTTCCACATGAAATATAACGAATCAAACATAATGGGATGAATGGTAGACATCTTGATCATCTCTTTTTATCAATATCGGTTGAAAATTTGTTTCTTCCTCCACTTCCAGGAATGGAGTATCTGCTTGTACTTGTAAATCAAAACTAAAGCCGCGTGAATTTCTTTTATGAAAGAACAGCGAACATCAACCTATGATAGTCGAATAAAGTTCCCCAGACCGGTCGAACCATAGACACTCCATCATCGAAATGGTAGTTGCACACACCGATGACACCGCGACCGGCTGCAAACTAACACCTGGGGAAATAGTTTCAGTTGAAAAGTCAATAAATCGCAAGTCTAGGCATTACATCTTTTTCTCCTGGTGCACCTCCAGGTGTATAAAATTTGGAAGAATATCAATGCAGCTGAATCACGTGGTTCCCGTCTTGAACATCCGAGGTAACACTTCCAAACGGACTAACTGAGTGCACCTGACTTTGCTTCGGCTAATATGATGAAAAATAAAAATACATATCGTACTGAACTGTCCAAACTCCAATAAATTATGTAAATTATACTTCCTTGATCATAGAACCAGTTCAGAGATACTAGATTCATGATAGCCACTGTAATCTGGTCAAGCAAACAGCACAATGCTAGATTTCGACGTTTTCCATCGACTCTCCGAGGGAGCGAGATACTTGACAGACCTGTCGGCCAAACCGCGATTTTTGGATCATCAAACAAAAAAACGGGGTTAGTGAGAACGCTGTAATTCAGAGCAAGCATAACATGCCTCAGATTTGTCAGCATTGTAGAGGAGAAATAAGTCTGCTAGGGTTTCTTGGGTGGGTACTCACCTCAGTAGGCACTCACCTTGGATGCCGCCAAACTCAGCTGGATACCATCATCTGTACTCTTCTTTGAAAGAAAATTGGCCTCTCTCATACCAAGGTTCTCACATTTGATCGCAAATCCGGGTGTTTGCTTGTCTCATCACTTGTTCCAAAACGTCAGAGCGATCAAACCACTGTTTACTTGTTGGGATAATTCTCGAGGATAACGCATTTGTCAAATCAAGCAAAAACTAGGTAGAGTTACATACATTGCAAGTACATCTGGAGAAAGAGATGCGAACAAATTGGGAGCTCATTAGTAAAAGCTTTGGGTCTGTAAACATGTCATTTCTTTCTATGCGACCAAGTATGGTTACCCAAATAGCTACTACACGAGTAGTTCACGTGTGTCATAATACCATCGTCAGAAAGTTCACTCCGAGAGCGGAAATCTCTACAGCATAGCCAGACACATGCGGGAGAGCTTCAAATGGACCGGGGCTTGTTACGTAACGAGTGATAAATTTCTTCACTATGTGGTCAGCAAAACCTATACAGGAAGGTTAACAGACGTTGTATATGAATGCACGAGGTATCAGTTGCATAAAATTATACGTGATAATGCTGCAACGCATTAACTACTGATGTCATTCATTCGGTTTAATTCTTGGGTCACTGATGGTCATTTCTGAGTCTCCGGGACTTTCTGCTATTCTTCAGCTACTTCCAGGTCGTTCAAACATTATTCCCATATATGTTTTCAGCGCTGAAAAGGGTCAGTCATTGATTCTTTTATCTCCTTGCCATGACGTGTAACTCGCCAAATAAGGAACCAGAGGAAGTCGAGACAACGAAGACCAATCAGAGCAACACCCTGAAGGAAATTTCGTGATTTCGATTTTTCCATAGGGATTTTTGCATGGGACTGTTTATAAAGCAACGATGTTTCGCAGGACACATGTCAGACTACTCGCTTTAGGGCATCTCAGAGCTAACCTAGAAACAAAAGGCACGTTTTGCAGCATCGGTTCGATTGGCTGAGCGACAACTTAGGGCGTGAAAGTCCAGCGAGGTAACTCCATCGGCTTGCACGTTGACAACCGGTATAATATGAGGACACAAATGACGTCAGTTGATCGCTTACAGGCCATTTCCTTCAGAAAATCGACGGTAACAGGTCTAGTGTTTTGCAGGTGGGAATTGAACCTCCAATTCAGGCAGAATTAAGGACGGTCTCCGTCGCAGTGTAATGATTGATCGTATATCGTTTCCGATCGAAGTTGTTACGCTTCGCCTGGGTTAAACTTAGATCTAGAGGCGGATACTTGATTGATATGAGCATTGTGCCAACTCAACGAATATACCCCATATTTTGTGAAGCGCAGCAACGATAAAGAGAAAAACTTCCTTGTTGACTCCCATGGTTGCCACATTTCAGTGGCAGAAACGTCTGTTTCATTTCCCTTATACCATAGATTTGTAATATGCACGAGTTTGAATACCACTGAAAGTCACATTGCACTGTGCAACAGTTTAGCCCTCTGTGGATTTGCTTTTTCAACAAAAGGCTGTTTTGTTGAAGCAACAATCCGATTAGTACCCAGTGTATTACCTTGATGGGTTCAAATCCCCTGGGAATGATTATGGTGCACATTGATTATCATTACCAGTAGGGATGAATCTTCCATGCATTCTGTGCCATGAAATGATTTCACATACAGGACGAAGATGTTTACTGCTAATTCGCTTCACCGTCCAAAATGGAAACAAATATTTTCATCCAGCTAAAGTGTATAATCCATTAAACATCAGGACCTTGGTATATTTGTCAATGGTAGTCAGATTTATGGTCCACTTTCAATCAATGTTTGGCCAATGTGTGCACGCGACCCCTTCAGTTTGGTGGAAACAAATATTTTCATCCAGCTAAAGTGTATAATCCATTAAACATCAGGACCTTGGTATATTTGTCAATGGTAGTCAGATTTATGGTCCACTTTCAATCAATGTTTGGCCAATGTGTGCACGCGACCCCTCTCAGTTTAGTGGTGAAAGTACGAATAAACTAACAGCAAATTCAACTAATTTGAAAACAAGTTCCGGCAAGTTTGGGACAACTAAAAAGGAAGTAGTACTTGCACTTTATTTCTTATTAGCCAGAAATTCTCTTTATTAAATTTTACGTCTGGCTTAACTCCCAGCCAAACTAGTGATTATTCTTAGTTCCGCCGAAGGAGTGTTGTTGTCAGAAGCGAACTGAGACCTGTCATTAAATTCACCGATTACTTTCCAAGCTTGTTTTAGAGAAAATTTGTTTCCTGAACCAGAAAACACAAATAAAGATGGGTGGTACAATAAAACAACTTTGCTAGTGCGTAGTGAGCATTTTTCCCGGGTTCAAATTATGGTCTTTCCAAAAATTTAATGAACACGGCTAGTGTCTATTTTTCTACCTGTCCGGTTACACGGCCTTTACTTTAAAACTCCCGAGTCATTTTAAAATTTGTACCTGAAGAATGCAAACCTGAGGACCGATTTAACCCCTCCTGTTACCACCATCAGTGATGATCATTCGTGATATTTCAGCTCATCGGTTGCGTGAGGACGCTCATTGCACGAACAATCAAATTTTCTCATAACATTATTGAGGAATGAAGTGATTTTATGACTTCAAGCGTTGCGTACGCTTGAGATAAAATATTCTTTTCAACTGTCTGTTCAGGTTCATCACCGTGAAGTGTGTGATACCTAGGTGTTTCAAGTAATAATCCACTGCATAACATCTATTGAGCATCAATATTTGGAGAAATGTCGAAGTTTTAGAACAAACCCGACCGATAAACTTTCCGCAGGCAATTGGAGGTACACAGGTTGCATCCTAATTGTATTGATGATTCTTGTTGGTTGCACAATAAGGCCATCACGGAAAGGCTAGTGCACGCACATTCCTTCGGAAGAACCAGTCAGGATTCTTACAACCATACGCCATATACTCCCGTCACTGCAACTACCCCTCAATGAATGTGGCTGGAGTTTCTCGCTGGCAAACGCCGGTGCTGTTAATCTGGTTGGTCACAGTCCTAGAAAGTGCCTGGCATATTTGGTCATTGGGTGAAAAATTAATCCCACAATCAAACACTTCGGTTCAATATGGGTGATCAAACCAGATTGGCCTACAACTCATTGTTTACTAATACGCACTCTAAGCAAGCAGATGATTGTTAGTAGGTGGCACTGGTTGTTGTTGTTGCGCGAAATCACGTTTTGGAGGTTTGCGGTTTTAAACTGATACTGATTACACAAAGATGTTCAATGACACGTGCTAGAAGACCTCACGCTTCCAAGATACCGACGTTCCCCAAAAATTTGATTAAAATATCCACTTCAGCTCCCGACTAAAATTAAATTGTACGGGCATTTTCAGCAACGTGGTCTAAAAAGTGTGCAAAATGTTTTTGTCGACAGACTTGTGGAAGCTTGTCACCTGGCCGGATAATGTCGTGTTCCGCCTGACCTACTCGATTTTACACTGGTAAACTGCCGTCTGTTGTTTGTTTTATCGTATAAGATAAATCAAAGTTTTGAAATGAACAATGTACGGAGTATACGAGCTCTCCGACCCTGGTGGAGGTAGATGTGTAAAGTCTGAAAAACGCATTGTCAAGCCACCATACACATCAGACTAGGTCTGTTTAAAAAATTACTCTATAGGAATTTCTCTTAGTGGAATGATTTTTCTGCGATACCTTGGTATGAACGTTTTAGAAGTAAGAAAATTTAGGCAGAGTTTTGCGAGAGAACACTCATTTTATTGTATTACACATTCCAAGGGAAAAATTATCAAATAATCTATCAAATGTAATTTCACAGATGGAGGCAGCAATATTCTTGTCCGAATGTATATTATTGGTTTTGCGAGAGAACACTCATTTTATTGTAATACACATTCCAAGGTAAAATTTATCGAATAGTCTATCAAATGTAATTTTACAAATGGAGACAACAATATTCTTGTCCGAATGTATATTATTACAGCATGCGTTAACAGTACTGAACCCGTTTTCAATTCAGTTGGTCCACAGTTGATTGGAAAGCCGATCATCAACATCACCGCTACCGGAAAGAAGGCACAACTAGAATGCGAGGCAAGGGCTAATCCAACTCCGACAGAAAATGCTGTACGGTGGCGCAGAATTTCGCATTCTTTCACTGGGATGGACTATGCAACCCAACTTCCGCGTCCAAATACTGTATCAGAGATCCCGAAGAAAACGGAGGAAGAGTCACTGGCTGATTCTGTGACCGGAATAAGATGTAACAAGGTGAGTGATGTAGGTGAATATTTCAGCCTGTGGTCTTCGGTTTGTTCACCGAGGTGGGTAATGTGATGGGAAGCGTTTCATCATCAATTGGGGTGACATCATCAGTGCTGATTTGGAAAGCGTGATTGAGCGAGGTGATGGCGTAACCACAGACACATCACTTATCCCTGCCACACACCCTAAAAACATGCAGGTGATATCACATTGATTGGTGATCAAACGTTTGCTGAGCTGGATAATCTGATTGCAAACGTTTTACCATAACCTCAATACATGTTTGACATCCAGTACTATAAATTCAATTGCGTGGTAGAGTAGACATGAACGTTTCTAAGCCGCCCGCAGAATTTTTTGCGTACATGGCGGTTTCCTGCAGAGAGGCCCTCTGTTCAAACCGCCATGAGCGCATTAACCAAAATATGCTTGTGGGATACATTTTGCAATGTTTGTAAGCCATAAACGTGACACGCCAATACAACGACGTACTCTGTGAACCTACACTGACAACAAAATGCTTCCCACACAGCGCCAGATTGATATCAGCTTTGCCCAGTACATCTTATAACTGTTTAAACTTCCTTTGAGCCAAAAAGTATACTTTATGCGTTCAAATGTTCTGTTCAGAGAAACGCTCAGTAAAATTCATTCATTATTAGCCAGTAAGTTTTACAAAATATCCGTTTCATTTTGAATCATTGTGTCAGCTGGCTGGGTCCCTCCCTGACCATGGGACTCCACTTACTTTCGTGCATCTTTCTTCTGAAATCAACACCTCTTCACAGACAAATTTGATTATTCCTCTCAAGAGTGTTGCATTTTTTAAAACATTCTATTCTGCCGAGCCAACTACCGTAAAGATTTACCTTTCTTTACCTTTCAACACGCAGAATGATGGATCTCGTGCGATTATTGACTTTAGAGGGACATTCCATCTGGATAATCGTTCCCTGGTGTAACCAAGTAATAGACATCACTCACACACATTTTCACGTTGATTAAATGTACTGTTGACTCAGCTGACATCATTTGCGTAATGGCTTACTTTTTCGAGGTTGCGTGCCTAACAAGTAATATGACATTTTCCGAACTACGGTGACGTTGTTGAAATGGTACATTTACGTGTACCAGACAGCGTTTGCGGTGGACGGAAAAACATGAATAGAAGTGACGAACAAAGTTTGCCCAGTATGCTTTGCGTTTTCTCGGCCTGTATCCCTGATTAGCTACATTTCCCAACTTGAAGTGAAATCACGGTCATGTAAGATTACTCGGATAATGTCTACCATGGGAGAAAAGGTGGTACATATGTACTCGTGAAAAAATTGCCTACAGAAACGACAAACAGTTGTTGTCCCGCTGAAGAGAACAACTTTCAAAGTCGAAAATCAGTGGAATGTGGTTCAGAGGTAAGCGTACAGTGGATGATCTTGCACATAAATCGACACATTCCGCAGAGGCGATATAACCAAGAATCGATCAGATGAGCGGTGATGTGAACTAAGTAAAGATATCGAAGTATTCCGCTCCCCTCACTGTTGAACTGTGCGAATATATCTGGCCTACATTTGATTCTTGCTTTCCTGAAGTATCAGCATGAGGTATACCCTTAGATCAGTCCTCGATAGCCATCGTTTGACAGTCGGCGCATTCATTGTCCAACCGGTCAGCCCAGAAGTCATCGGCATATCAGTTCCCATTTAGTGCTCAATGTTCTTTTGAAGATCTGTGAATACTACTTTAAAGCTGGATACGACAAACACCCTCACTCGAAAACAAATTTCATTTTGACAAGAGACCCAGCTGAGTTCAGTTGAATTGCGATTTTATGATTGTCCTGGTCCTCCAAGATGGCCCAGGTTAATGAGTTGGCTAAGATTTCTGAGCAACCTTGTTAGTAGTCTTACACCTGGCTTCAATTTACATTGAGCCTTGGGATTGGCAGTATTGTCAACATAAATAATTTCGGCTGCACGTGATCTAAAGTGAACGGCCGAAGCTTGATATCCTCCAGAGCTGGCCGTGCTTTCAGTGAAATGGTTTATAATCTAATATGATCGTCCGTATTTCTGAATACGTAGCAGAAGTCAAAAAGTGTACGCCGATAGAAAGCCACCCAGTTTCATTGAAACTGGCCTGCCCATTTGAGGACAAGTCAGTCTTGCAGATAATCGTTCGGACAAATATATACCAATTAAAAACACAAGACGACTGATACAACATATGGAAGGACACCTTAAAGAGGTTCCAGTGCCAAAAGAAATTGTTTCTGATCTGCTCATCTGGAAAAAACATTTTGATGGAGAATGAAAAAAGTTATTCATTCGTCAAGGGCGTTTAGCGCGTCACCTGTGAGGGACTAGTTAATTCTGATGCCTTTTGCAGGCCGAAGTTTTAATCAGTTTGTATCAGGTTTAATCATCAGCTGTCCTGCATATTGGCACTTCGCTTTGGTTTGAGTTTGAAGGAACGCAACTTCATCAACAGACGAAACATCGGTGTTCCGACGTTTCAGCTGTACGTCAAAAGAGGAATGACGCCTGATGTAAACCGTCTGATATATAAACTGTACCTATGTCTCTAACCTTCCAAGCCGTCCATGCACTGCCTAAAACCTGTGACGAACACCGCTGGGATAACATCAGCGATTCGGTTACCGGGGTATTCCGGCTTTGTACTAGGGGCGTCTGAGTTATGCAGACGTTTGATGTGACCTGAATTGACGTTATGTGATGATAGGAAAAAGAAGGCCAAACGTGACGTAAGCTTCATCCGTCTTTCGTCACTCTAAGTGTGATGGCATTGAGGGAACCTAATTAGACACATCCATGAAAGGTGGGTGTCAACAGGTAACCCAATCAGTCTTAATGAATCAGGCCATGTAAATACTTACAAGCCGGTTGATGGATTTTCAACACACAATAAATAGCAAAACACAATGGAACAGTATACAAGCTGTGGAATAGCAAGTGCGTAAAATGCGAATCAGTGTAGGAATTTGGCGATACTGCAAGTGGTCGTTTTTAACCGGAGAAAGGCACGTTTTCGACTGGGCGCCTCAGAGCGATGTAGTGCTGAATAGCGCGACAACTAGATAGGCTACGTAGAGCAAAATGAGATCTAATGACTGAAATGTACGAACAATTGAAGTACTTAATTGTCTTTGTTTATTTCCAGACACTCAGCAAGAGCTTTTTAGTTTTGCTAACGCGTTTAAATATCACATATTTTTTCCGAAAATGAGGCCGATAAAAAGGCATCGTAAACGGCTCCAACTACTACACTATCCCTGCGGATGGATAAAGAACACATTTCCATTACAGAAACTTCGTTTTCGTCCACTTCCTATTTGACCTTTCGAATCTCATGATGATTACATGCTTGTTCGAACCTTTGCTCCAGAAAGAAGCGGTTGATAACATACATTGCCCATCTTTGCATCTGGATAGCGTTAGTTAGTGGAACAAAAGTGCAGCACTTTGTGAACATTGTTTTGGAAGGACAGTGGTACAGAGCAAGCGGTTTCACGTACTTTTCTCTAACTGACAACAGCGGTAAAGCTGTTGTCACTAAGACAATAAAAGGGAGGCGTTGACTCAGCCACGATTTGCTAGATGTCCTGATCAAATTGACTCGATTAAGTCAAACAGATTTACGAACTCCTCTTGCCGTCTTTGTTGAATAATTTTATCGAACATCTGTATTGGAATCACGTAACTAACCGTAGTTGTAGTTGCGCGGCGGGATGAAAGTGAAAACGTGTATTACAACCTACATCCTGAACAATGGGTGTCATATTCACTTGGCAGTAACCAGATGAGCACTCTCAAAAAGCAGTTTGTGGATAGAATGGATATAGATGATTTTATTATCCAATAAAAACATTGCAATGGGTGCAAAAAAGCATTTTATTCATTCGCCTAACTTGCAGTGGACAACAAAAATGGTGTTCCTCTCTGATAGGTGGTTCCGATTTCTCTCGGGATAGATGAATTTCCCAACCAAAAAAAAGCGTCTGTTCCACTCAGATTCTGTATATGAATGACACTGAAAACTATACGGATTCTATCCACCAACCTGTGATGTGTTTTAGGGAAAGTGGCATAACGGGTTCAAGTACTTTGCGAAATGTTGGAGTAAGAGCCCTGGCACTCTAACAAGTCTCCTCACCATTTATGACCTTGGACCAAGTGACGTAGGACGATATCAGTGTCATATGGACAACGCTATTGGATCTCCTGCTGTGCGAATTGTGGATCTAATCTATCCATGTAAGTCGCGTCCCTCAGAGTGTGAAATGTGTGTTGCATGACATTTTGTTCGGGCATACATTTATGTGTTTTACTATATAACGAGATCTATACTTCGTTAGGCGTTATTCTGCTGAATTGAAATGAACCGACTTAGATTCTATTCAAAGTTGCCTTACTACGAGGTCGGGTGAACTGGCATTTAGGTACAGATATGGTGTTTGTTACTCAGGGTCGTATAAAACGTAGGTTTTCTACTTGTTCACAATTTAGCGGCACTGCTATGTGTTCCCTTGGAGAGGGATTTGTGTGTGAAAAAATCTTGCTGAGTGTTGTGTGGTTAGGAATTTAGTCAGTGTTTTTCCTTCAGACGCAGGAAGGTTTCCGGAATTCCGTCTAAGTTGCTGCAAATTAAAACGACAAATGGTTCATTTCTCATTCGACTGTGAAGATCTATGTAAACATTCATTTTAATTGCGTTCACTTTCTCCAGTAACCTTTCTCATATTGTCACGTGTCGTTGAGGTAGCCAATCTGTAACACTCGGTTCGCATGTAGCCCAGATTTCTAATGCCGCGTCAACTACACCACTTTCAGAATAAATAAAAAATGTGCGAATATGATAGGGTATTCAAGATACAATCCGGTACCCTTCACACAGGACCCTCAGACAGTTTTTGAAGCCCAGCACTCCACGGTGGGTTCAAATGACCAGCATGTTATACTGAACTCAGGCTGAGTCTTTCTGCATGCAAAAAGCCGATTTTACGAATATAGTAATCACTAACGCCACAAAGAAGCCGACAGGCTTGAACCTCCTGTTTTCACATCAGGAGAGTTTATGCAATTAAACAAGCAGAAATGACATTCAAAGCTTATGTCATTGTAGACCAGTAAAGAGGAGTCAGAAGGAAGCCCCGGCGAACAATGCAAAGACCATATAGCACGGGACGGTTTGCTTCAATAAATGTTCGTATCTTTAACCACCAGCTCCTCCACCCAGAGGTAGTGGGTTTCAGTTTTTTAAAAAAAACTGGACCCTTTTTTCATGGTTCTACGAATGAATGTGGTTCAACGACATACACTCAATTGGAAATAAATTTGTTTTTGCGATAGACTCACCTGAGGCCGAGCCGAATCTCTCGTTTGAGATGTATCCAAGCAACTGAATGTGCTGCACCAGGCCGCCTCATGTTTCAGTCGATACGGTATTCGAGATATCGCAGCACATTCAGTTGCCTGGAAACATAACAAAAGAGAGACTCAACTGTGTTCCAGACGAAACTCTCGAAAAACCAAATTTGTTGGCAACTGAGTGTATTTCGCTAATTCTATGCAATTTGGTTTCAAGTAGAACACAAGGTTGACGAAAACTCGGAGACTGCACCTACCTGATGAGTCCCAATAAGGGCGAAACCGGTCGTGGGCTGTCGAAGGATTTTCAACAACCTTATGAGTATTGCAGTACGTGGTTCATCGACGTTCAGGGATCATTTTTCCGTGGATATGGGCTCAAACAGTGGCCATTTCCTGTGAAAGCAATGACCACTACTCGCTTAATAACCCCAATAGCATGAGTTCATGTTTGAACTGCTGCGGCCAAATGACACCTCAAACATAGAGCTTTGTAATGATGGTTAATTATGGCGTACCTTTTCCTTAGATACAAATTATGGATTTGACAACACCGTCAACATGGTCATGAACCACAAAGTCACTGTGACTTTATGAGCTTGCCAGTTACGTCACAGATTGTTTGGTTAAATTCATCTATAGAGCTGGTGACCGATACCATTATTCGTGGAACTGCTGAATACATATGCATAGAGAATACGTGCTGTTACGTAACAGGCACCCTTAAAGTGGAAACACTTCCTTGGGATTTATATCGGTTTTAAAATTAGGTAAAAAAGACCCAGAGGACTATCGTCTTAAGCCCGGCAAAGTTGCCGCTGTGTCTAAACATGTCCGCGAAACTTTCACAGTATAATAAGATGATAAATAACACTTTTGGATTGTCGCACTCACTGAGTTTCAAGTATTGAGATTGTATTTGCCACTTTCTCAGTCTGGAATGTTGATCACTGACGAATCAAACCTTTGAGGCAAGCTCATTTGATGACGCTGCGGGAAGAGTATACAAACCTGAACCGAAGTAGAGAAACCCTAAAGTAGAAGGTGAGCAGTATCCGTGTAAAAAATAAACAACGAACAATTAGGGTGAATAAGTCTATTATTGTCTCTTCTCAGCGCTGTTATTAAAATTACAAAACCAAAAAAGAAGATGATTTAGAGCTAGTAGCGGGTTTGACTCCATTGACTATTCGGGCCACCTTCGTTTTTTTTTAAAAAAAGACTAAAATTCAACTCAGCAAGTTCTCACTTGGTCTTCAAATGTCGTGCAGTATTCAGTTGAACCAACGTCATGATAAAGTGTTAACTAGTGATATATCGTACAAATGAAGGTAGAACACCCTAGACCTGAAGGGAGGGGCAATTTACGCAAATGATCTATTCACACATGTACGGTTCCTGCTTATCTTTGGACAGTCGAATCAACTTGTTAGGCAGCCGTTTATACGAGACAGTAATTCATGGTTTACATTTCATCGGGAGCTGATAAAAATTTCTGGGAAAACAAACACCTGGTCAACCTCCATTTTCTACTGTTTTTATAGCTGTTGACCTCTAGATACTTCCGCTACATCCAACCGCTTTCGAAATATTCGCTTGTTCCCCAGTATTTACAATGTTTAGCGCACCAATGCTCTTCAAGTCTTGTTGGATAGCCGTTCCCCATGCTACTCCTCTCAATGTTGTTTGGGTGATAGCGTTTTACTACCACTTTAATCCTAGGAAGTACACATTCTTGCTCCCGAAACCATCTGGAAAATCAGTAGCATTTTCCGCTGTCTCTGCGTATACGCAGATTATATTTCATTTTGGGAATTTGAAATCGTACAATAAAATGGTTAAACTTGTTATTTTGCTCAACATAGTTGCTCCGCGCATCATTCACATACAACGGTGGTCAAAGGCTGCTCCGGGACCAGTGACAGGGTCACTTGACTCAGAAAACACGGAGACAAATCAGTCACCTCAGACTAATGGCATTCGGCGACAAGCGCGTCTGACGTGTGTGATTGCAGCTGAACCTCAACCTGAAGTGACGTGGTCAAGAGAACCCGCCAATCTTACCCTGGTCGAAGGAGGTCAATTTCGGTCGCAGATGAAGTTGATTCATCCTGGACTGTATCATGCAATACTGTATCTTAGTCAACCGCGCGATGAGGATAATGGGTTGTACTTTTGCAAGGTACGTGTTTTGATGTGCTCGTTCTTGTCCAAACTTAGCGAGGTAGCACAGGCGCTATGGGAGTAGATATGCTTCACAGATGTGACCCTTGTTCTATGCAGCAAGCTGATTTGATCAGATAACAATCATGAGCCGGAATGCTCTACCTGAATATCAATCGGTTCACGCAAAAGATCTCATAATCAGCGAGCAAAGGACTTAGCACTCTAAGGAGAGTTTAGACGATGGCATCCGGGCTGATGACAGCTTTCGCATCCGAACTTTCTAACTCAGAAACCATGTTAGACTGATAAAATTACCAGTTTTGTTGGGATGATCCAAGGCCAGTCGGCTAATGTTAGGGACAGTTGCACATCTGGCCGAATATAGTTGAACAAAATAAAAATGCTGAAATTGCCAACTGTGTAAATTGGTCGACGATGCCTAAAACAACCAACCAATTTGTGTCTTCCTCAGACTTGTGCCATCCACTTGCTGTAACTCGGAAGCGTTCACAGTAATGAGCTTTTCAAAATCTTATCACAGCTCTGCTGTGGATGCACTTTACCCCTACTCTAAGAATTGGGGTAACTTTAGAAGTATGGTTTTCGTACGAAAGTTCACGTCCAAGATAAGCTTGAAGTTGACTGGTTGGTAGCCCGGACTTTTGTGTCAAGTGTACGTATCTACTGGCTGCAGATCGTTCGTGTTTATAGCACATGATGCTTACAATTTCCTTCCTAACTGTATAGAGATGAGACAGTGTGCGCTATTGAGGACAGCCAATTCCCAACCGAGCTCTGTAATTCACCAATTCGGTGAAAGAAAGTCGTAGCATCCAGAGTCACATCAGAGGACTGCACAAATTACAGATCGATAACTTTATCTGAGGGCAACTTCGTGTGCATGCACTCACAAGTTCTGCGTAAATGTGGAGCGTACTACCGTTTTTTGGAGAGTTTTCACTTTAGATGCCCCCGCACACAATCCGGATACATGTGAAAACACTGATTAAAAGTGTGTAAAAGCAAAACAGACATGTGAAGTCCACACAAGCAAATCGAAACAGGGCGTGAACTAAACAGGGTATTAACTAAAATCGTTCCAGGTGAACTACAGACTTCATATTCCTCGGATTAGGTTCGTTTTTACACTAGGGTTGATGGAGTCTTGATAAGTTTACGTAAGTACAGGTTGCCTTATAGCTTTTGCTAAAATATTAGTAGATCGATTACCAATTTTTACAGATAAACAGGTATTGGATTTTGCAGTGTTGTGTGCTGAATAGGAGCGGAAATGTTGGTAGAAAGTTGGGGAAATTGTGCTCAGGCACTGATTATCTTCCAGTGTTCGACTATGAGAGGCAAAAGGCACTAAAGTGTACGCTGTTACCAAATAATAAAGCAACAACTTGAGTGAGCGATTTTAGCCACCAGACAAGAATTGCAAACACGTTCACCGAAGGTTATTTTTAGAGTAAAAATATAAATATCATTTGGGAAGTTGTGAAGATATTTTTTAATCTTTTTCTTTCCAACAATTCTGCGGCAGGTGTTGGCAGAATAGAATGGAATAGAATAGAATGCAGTACGTGTAGAATAGTGTTATTCCACAACCTTTTATGCGCTATGGTATGTTCCGTCGCCTGAAAGTGTAGAGGATACCAACTCTCAGTAAATTAAATGTACCAAGTTTTAACATATTGGAAAAGCGCGTTTTCAACGGGCCAATCAGGAAATGGCGTTTATAGTATAGGAGATTTTGAAACTTTCAATGGAGATTTTGTCCATGACTGAGCAGTCAAGTGTTGAAAGTGTTAGCCTGTAAATCGCAGGTTCCAGATGACCAGAGGATTCGTGAAATGAGCACGCCTCATGATTCCCGAGAGGGATGAAGCAGCCGTACAGTAGCTGTCGACTTTTCAGTATAAGCTGGTTTCGCGCACAGCATGATATCTCCAAGGAAACCCTGGTTATGTGAACAGCGGACCGTGGAAGTAGTAACAGCTCAGTGTATATTTTGGTCGGCGTGGTATTATTTGGTTGGAAGGGGTCCAGTGCGTTCACTAATCAACTTCCTCAATGCTAGCCAGTGTTTCTACCGCAACACTAAACCAATATCCTGTGAAGCAAGCACCGGTACATTGAAATTTTTTTTGAATATTTCTTATTTATCTATTACATTGAATCTTTTAGTACTTAATAAACACGCCATTCCAAAGTAGTGCACCATACTTCTCGCTCAATCAGGGCACCGAGAAAATGTGAAACAATATTGCGGACAAGTAGTTGTGTGTGTGTGAGTGGATGGAACCCGAACTTTGGGAACTATGCAGGTTCGAAGGATCTGCTGATGAGAGTCAACTCACTCTTAGCTAAATACAGTTATTCGCATACCGAGTTGGTATTGACAGAAGGCTCACCTGAAACCCATAATGTATTGCCCTTATGCCTGCATGCCGATATCTCGAATATCGACCTAACTGAAACATGATGCACCGCATTCAGTTCCTTGAAACGTCATAAACGATTCAGCTGGATTTTAGGCGAGTCTTTCGTCAAAACCAAATTGGTATGAAAGTTAGCGTGTTTTACTAATTTTCTGCAATTCGGAATCAAGTAGAACATAAGTTTGACGAAAACTCGTGAACGGCGTCTACCTGATGAGACCCGAGAAAGGCGAAACTGGTCACGAGATGTCAAAAAGTTTCCAACAACCTTATGAATAATTTATTACGTCTTAACTCGCCCTTTCTTTTTTACTGCCTTTCATTCGGTTTTAACAATAAAAACTGACAAACCGAGGTCTGATTTGATCTGTCAGTTTTACGTTATTCTTCCCAGCAAAATCACATAATTTAGTTCGGAACACCAAACAATAACCTAACGGCCATGTTAGTCAGTACATGTGGTGAAATGGTAGATTCTTCGAGAAATACATCCATTTTCAAACTAATTTTCGGGCAAAATGCAGGCTAGATTGCCACCTTTTGTTGTTGATCGAGTCAATGTTGACCTATTCGCCGATGGTGCCAATTGATCTGCAAAGGTTTCTTTTCCATACGAGGGGACATCATCAGTGAACAGTTGGGTGGATAGGTCCTCTGTGCCTGCATGCATTTACACAGAATCTGAAAACTATCTGTTTTCTTCCAACTCGATTGGCTAGTTGGGAGACAGCGTTTTTCGTGAATTTATTAGTCCGTTTATGATGTTTTTTTGCGGTGCGGTCTGCATTCATTTGGGTCATTTGCTCATCCCAGTGCCTTCCATATGAGCTCACTATTAACGTATGTGGACCCCAGTTCTATCAAAAAACTGTGGCCAACTTATTGAATAAGGGTGGTATGCCAACCGGATTACTGAAGAAAGAAGACCTTGTCAATTATTCGACTTATGCTTGAGCACATATTTCGTGTTCTACGGAAAATATAGCAACAGCTATATATACACGGTGGTAAGTAACACGCAAGTACCAAAAAGAAAATAACTGGCTCACCAAACGACGTTTAAAGCTACATAAAATCACGACTTTTTGCACTTTATAGCGCTCCAAAAACCTGACCACTGATTCAAGATATTGGCCTTTTAGCGCCTACTGGTTCAGGAATTTATACACATTAAGGCGGATTTTATTTACTACGAAAAGACGTTATTAGCATATAAGTATCAAGTTGTCCTTGCATTATTAAACACTTTTAATCAATACAGTCCGAACATGAGTAAGTAACAAAAGTATGTTTGGAAGCTCACATGCAAGTAGTTTGGGAATGGCTGAGTGTGGCAATCGATTATCCCACAGCTTAGTCTTCTATTTTCGCTGCTTGCAAAGCCAGTAAACACTCGGTATGCCATATTTTCCTCGGTGCATTCATTCACGCCTGCGGTCAGCGCAGTATTGAAGGCAAGTGTGGTAAAAAGTGAATAGCTGTGTTGCTGCATTAAAATCCTGAGAAAAAAAAATGATTTTTCAATAATCTTGGTAAGGTGGGCATTGACTTTGGATTACAAAACAGCCATTGTCGTATTTTGGCAGCACACCGGATAGCACACACAGCATATCAGTCGCTCCACACGTCTCTCTGTGGTGTTTTGCTTAATGTGTTGCGAATGAATGGACGTTAAGCTTTTTCGGAACAACTCTCCCATGGGATGTCCTGGCGGATACGAATGAAAATCTGCCTTTGGGCGGTTGCGATTCCGGAATGATGTCCTGAAATCGGAAAAATGGTATGGGTTCTCAAACTATTGGAAAATATCTTGTGAATTCAGGAAGTAAAAACCGAGGTCTATGACTGCAGTTTTCTTGAGAAAATCTACGTACATGATCTCCCAGGATGATATCTTGAAGCAAGTGATAATCCTCTCGTTCTATAGGTAAGTTACACCAGTCGCCTTATTGGGAGTGCATTGTGAGGTCAACTTTTATGACATGGGAATACTCTATACTTGAATAATGCTCCTCTTCTTTGCTTCAACTCAGTGAAAAATATGGGATAAAAGCAATTGCCTTTAAATTGTTTTTACTTCATACATGAAATCACTGGACGATAGTTAAGCAAAAAGCACTAGTCTGCAGCATAAACGAGATGATTTCTTTGAAAGCGCATTGAATCAGTGCTTGGCTAAGTAACAAATAGTTACACCATTATAGCTCCAGCGTAAGAAGGCACATCCTGGAAGTGCACGCATCCGGAAGGAGAAGGCACAGTGAACAAGAGTAAAAACCGACATGTAAAAGGGGCCATTTCAGGAAGATCCTTGACAATCCCCGAGCTATTGTCCACTTTATTACCCTCGGTGTCTCGGTTCTTTTATTCCGATTGGTCTATTTAACTTTTGGAGTATCAGACTTTAGTCTTTTTGTTATTGGATTGGGCGATTTAACGACTGGTTTTGGTAGTTTTCTTCCTCTTGGCCGTTTTTTGCCTTGTAGCTCTTGGCCATTTCATTGGGTACCTTCTTTCTGACTGAATTTACACCAAATTTTCAATAAGTCCTCCTGACTTATCTATTTGTGTTTTGCTTCGGTGTGTGTGTGTGTGCCAGTGGTCATGATTTTACCCAGGATTTTGTACCCCTAGCTTCCGTAGGTTTCATCCCTGGCTTTTGTACAGTTTTGAGCGGGATGCTCATAGATGATAGTTTGTGTCGATCTCAATGTGTCCGCTGACTGCTTCCTCAGCCTCATACTTGCATAATTAACATTCACACTTTGCTCTTCCTCATATGAAGCTTTATCTTTCAGAAACGGAGAAGAGTGAGGGTTTGGCATGCAACCTCGGAGTCCGATGAATAGCTTCCTTTCTGTTTGTACAACTAAAGATATATCGCAGCACCTGCGTTGTATTTCGTATACAACGCTAGTTTTCTTTGTTGTTTACAAGGTAACTTTTGAGTTTGAAATTGCTTCCTGAAGTGTGCTTTTTGGTTTGTATGCCACTTTCATGTTGTGTTGGGGGCATACTTTGATAGTTGAGGCCTCGTGCCTTGTCACATAGTTACCTTGGTTTGTGGTGATTCATTCGAAAATCTGCTAATGGGGGTATCCGAAAATTCCAGTGTAAAGTTTGATTACCAATTTAATGTAGTCTGAGACATTGTTTAATGACTCACCTGTTCAGACATTTAACTGGTGAAGAAGATACCGCTTACGTAAATAAATCACAGCTTTGGATTCATACCATGCAATGCGGCTGTCTGTGGCTTTTGCTCTGGAACCCCCTGCAATTGGCCATCTCATTGATGTCTCTTGTAAATGCTCGTACTACTCTCCGTTAGATTCAAGATATGTAGTCAAGCATAGTTTTAAACAGTTCATACATATCTTCTTTCTTTACACTGCCATTTGGAGATTGATTTTATATTTGTATTTATCATTGTCTTGTGATCTTTTGCAGATCTTGGGGTGTATTCATTTTGTTCATCAGGTTTTTGATTTGATCGGTTTTTGAACACCGTAGTTGGATTCTACTCCTGTAATGGGTCTTTTCCGTTTATTTAGTCTGGTTTGTCCAAAACAACTGGAAGGCAAACCGGGTTAGCTAGCAGAATCGAAATCTTCTCGTCCTTGTTTGAGTTGTTCATTGCATCCTTCTTTTCACTGGACACAGCGTTGGATGTTAGGTGGTGCGTGACGGTTCGACGAAGGTTTTTTAGGTGTTCTACTCGAGCTCAGTAGACGCCATTCCTCTCAAAACTTTAGTTTCTGTGGAATTTGGGTATGTGGCGCACTGAGAATACCTCAAACCTTCTTTTCACTGGACACAGCGTTGGATGTTAGGTGGTGCGTGACGGTTCGACGAAGGTTTTTTAGGTGTTCTACTCGAGCTCAGTAGACGCCATTCCTCTCAAAACTTTAGTTTCTGTGGAATTTGGGTATGCGGCGCACTGAGAATAAATCAAACAATCGCGAAAGTAAACTCCTAGTTTTTTGGCTTTGCAGATGCACAGAACGTTCCGTCGAAAATATAAGATCAGCAAAATAGGCAAACCAAGATTTAATACTGATGTTTTTTGGGTGGTTAACAACACCTGAACGTTAGGGGAATAAGAAGAAAAACGCCAGCATTAGAATCGTTTGTACTGAATTCAAAGGCACCATCCCTTTGAAATGAATACGTAAAAACAGGTGTGGTGTCAGTGATGAAAACCGTACTTTTCAGGCTAGAAGATGTCACACTAAGAATGACAACCCAATTGGTTCTATCCAAAAAAAAACATTTCGGATTGTACTCGTAGGCAGAAATTTAGGAAGCTTTCTTCAAACTAAAAAAACAGTCGATTCCTTTTTCCACCGTGCAGCGAACACATGGAGCCAAGTATGATTTTGGTTTGAAATAGATAACAACATCACTTTGGTACGTTTATATTCAACGTAGGATAACGGAAGAGGGTAACACTGTTACGTCAGTTGAATAACCAGTACACAAAACGCATGATAGTGGTCTTACACCTAACTAACAACGCCTACGCGATTCCACTACTTACATCTAAATGACTCTTCTACATCCCAGAAGATCATGTTTTGTTAACGTTCAGAACGCCGGATTCACGTAAGTGGTTAAGTCGTGCTAAACGGAGTAGACCTTGCCTGCTATTGTGAGTTATATAAATCTCTGGCCACCACCGCGTTGGAGATCGGAACGGTTTGGGTCCACATACAAGGAGGAAACTTGGCCTACATTCACGAGCGATGAAATGAATGCGGAACTGTTAATCAATAAGTATTAGAAACTTGTCCAGGAACCCTATTAGCTTTCTGTCACCAACTAGTCAACCGCTCAGCAGTATCAGATATTTAGACGAAATACATTACTCATAAGGTTGCTGAAAAATCTTCGACAGCCCACGACTGGTTTCATCATTATTGGGGCTGATAAGGTAGGCGCAGTCCCCAAGCTTCCGTCAACCTTATGTTCTACTTGAGGGTTTGAAAAGATGCAACATTGCTCGGTGTACATGGCAAAAGAAAACCACTTTGCTTGTCCCCTTATGGTATTCGTCGTGCAAGGGTAAATATTTCGCCATTTCTAACCACCTTCTCTCAGCTTTTTTGTTTGTGGCTATTGAGCAATCTATCAATTGAGCAATCTGTTTTCAGGCTCTATGAGGATGGATGTAATCTCACCATCCTAACAGCGAATACATCCATGAAGGCTACGATTTATGGGCTACATTATGGATTATGGACCTACATTAAGGCGACCACTGCAGTACAAACCTCCTTAGTAGAGTCCTTTTCCCTCTCAGAAGAGCCACTTGATCAGAGACTTCACAACACTAGCAACTGTAACAAAGGCATCAAAATAAAGGCCATATCCCTGGTTTCGTTTTTGCAACGTCCATATATTTACCCATTGTGATAGGGTAAATCAGTCGACGAATTATATGATTCCATCTCTGGTTTGAGTTCTCTTCCTACATGCGGCAATGCCCTATCCGGTGCTAATTAATTTTCCATAGGATGCCAGATTTATTTAGTTGACCATTTTGCTGGTCTCCGATGATCTCAAGATTGGTCATTAATTCAGGTGATCAGATTCACCTCTTACGAGTTTCGAACACAACACAGTCGGAAGGTGGTTGATATCATTTACCATTCAGCCACAGGATGTGTCAGCTTCTTTACAGTACAGCTTCAAGATCCACTATAGTTACACCGTTAGTGCATAACCAATGCCTGAAGAATCAAAGGTACAGAATATCGGAGACTGAACCGGTGCAGACTTGAAATTTCATACTCATATCACACTCCACACTTCAGGGGTTGTTTACTTTATCAAATGGGCACTGAGGCGTAGATTTATATACTGATTTTTTTCTACGGTGAGGAAGTTGAAATTCACCTTCAAACTGCTTCCATTTAAATGATATTCACCGGCTTTTTCTTGTTTCTAAAACTGGAAGCTTACCGGAGAATGTGCACAGATTGACCATCCGGGTTTTCCCACAACGTTTTGACCATAACTACATCAACAAATGCTTATGTCTAGACCTAAAATCCCACTAATACAGACAAGTATATCTGTACGTGGATTTTGCGTTTTGAAGACCGTTTTCTCCAAGCCACACCACGCATGAACTTGTAAGTACACAACTGCGACACGCCAACCCTTTATTTTGCATCTTTAGGCGGTCCGTGAACCAATGGAATGTATTTCAAGAACACCTAATGAAATTCACTTCGACTGTTCAAAATAAAGTTGTTACAGTTTAGCTATCTGAATGTGCGGCCAAGCAACCTGCAGCTACGGAGACCGATCCATCTCGAATGGCAACTCCAGTACGATTGGCTAACCTGATGGGGCTCGCACAAGTTAACCGACCAACCTTGACGTGGAAGTAAACTTTGTTGAAAAACAGTACGTAACCGACAGCTCACTTGCTAGACTTCATCAGCATTAAAAAACGAGGAGAAGGTAGCATATTTGCATTCGTTGGACGAATATGATGGATGCAGATGTCCCTAATCACTCTTCTCGGTTTCAGCTTCGTTTGTAAGGATTTTCGGATTTTTGTCACCTGCTGCTAGCCCAGAATTCCTTCAACATTTTTTCCAAACATCACAAACAATCAACAGACTGACACCGGCCAAAAATTTGATGTTTGGCTTCCCCGTTGTCCCTAAAACTTTAGGTGATCATCAGAATTCACAAAGAAAATCTCACGATTGGTCGTATTTATCGTGGTTAAATTCGGAAGCACTAAGGTATTTTCAACATTTGGCTGAGTGTGGATTACTACATTCTTGAACAGAGTATATCATCTCTATTATCCACCCGCTACAAAGATTTTGTGCAATTTTTCCCATGAAACGTTAAATGCATGGATTGTCAGACCTCCCCTGTGTTTGAAATGTCGAATTTTGGCAACCAAGGTGAATTACGATCCAATCAGTTGACATCTCTTTGAAACTTAATTACCGGATAGCTCAAGATACACTCGCGTCTTCACACTTCAGGCATCCCGATAATGCAATGGATTGGTGCCTATAGATGGGAAAATGCTCTCATCAACATCGCTGTCAGCATTTCCCCGAATTCATATGGTCCGCCACTGATCAACTTCGCATTTTCTTTTATGTTTTCAGGCTAGCAATTTAGTTGGAGAAGACAGTGGACGTGTGGAATTGATGAAAGCGTCAAAACCAGACGTACCTCAAGTGCCTCGGCTCGTTAACGCCACAAGCACAACACTTGCAGTCACGTGGACACAAGGCTTTAACGGAGGACCAAAGCAAATATTCCAGGTTTGCAAGCATTTTGCGAAGTGTCGCCTTGTAATTATTTTTGCACAGGCATGCCAAGGAGAGTGATTCTTGTGCATTAACAATTAAAAAAACGAATTTTAGACGTAGTACACTACTCACGAGGTTGTTGAAAAGTCGTTGATGAGTCACCACTGGTTTGGTCTTTCTTCGACCTCATCTGGTAGGTGCAGTCATCTAGTTTTCATCAACCGTATGTTTTACTCAAAACTAAATTGTAGGGAATTAGTGAAATAAACTCATTTGTAAACAAATTTAGTTTTTCGCGAGACACCTAAAAAACCCAGCTGAATCTTGTTTATGATGTTTCTAAGCAACTGATTGTGTTGTGATATCCCAAATATCGTACCACCGGAAACATGAGGCGGCCTGATGCAGCGCATTCAGAGAGAGATTCAGCTGGGTTTCAGCTGAGTCTCTCGCAAAACCAATTTTGTTTGCAAATTGAGTGTATTTCGCTAACGAATTTGTACTTTCCGTTTTGTTACCTTTACTCGAAGAACACTGGCAGGCAGACATATTTTTACCGAACAGTTTTCGAATGTTCGAAATCATAACTGTATATCAAAACATTACGATTTTCTGGAATGATACACAGAAAAGCGCCAGCTTACTAGTGCGAAGAAGCTTAGAATTCGCCTTCGTTCTGTCACAAGGGCGAACTCTTGATCCTTTATCGTCATGACCAAATTATTCACTCACTAATTACAGTCAATTAGTGTATTAGCCTATTCTGGTGTTTTGTATAATGGCCAAATGGTCATGCCGGATTAAGACCTTACGAAGCACCGGTAGTTCCATGTTCTCTCTGTCCAGGATTAACAAATGTGGAAAAGCTCATAAAATTTACCTGTCGAGACACAAAGGAAAGATCACTTATCAGCCCATAACAGTTAGTTATCGATTGCTGGATTGAAGATGTGGTCTATCTGAATAAAACGTTGAACGGGAATGAAGAATGGAATAAATCAGGGGGTATTGAGGACGTTAACCTCAAAATTTGGTTTTCTTTATCTGAAGCCACATGTCATGCATGCTTACTCATCCTGTCGATCAAACTTGTGCCTTTGAGTGCACGCCGGCTTCGCAGTATAGTTAGTTTGCACCGATTAAATCAGGTTTACTGGTTTACTTGCAACTAGAGCCTACATCTGGTTGGTTACGTGAGGGGAAATACCCCTATTTCTGAGCGTACAGGATGGATACACTAAAAGAGGAACGCACTTCCAACTTGACTGAGGATTGCGCTGAGGACGCATATCTAGTTCAGTGTTGCAGTAGATGATGAGGCATTTAAACGCACACATTTCGAAGAACAAGCGACAGAGCCGCTATGTAGGGTCAAAAAACTACACGTAGCCCACCAATTCTGCAAATAACTCTGATGAAAGCTGGCCAACAATCGTAGTGGTCTTCAGTCACCAAACTGTATAGAATGTTGTCTTTGCAAATTTAGATAAATCTATAACCAGTGGCAAGCTTCGTTCCCGTAGGCAATTTGACCATCCCTCAGAACTAGTAAATTTTTGATTCCTTCAAATAGCTTTTTTGCAGTTTTTTTCAAGAGTTACTTGGAAAACTGCCATGTAGTTTCGATGCGAAGGAAATGAGCGATGTGCTAAATGAGTATTCAACTGGTGAAATTTTGCACCACTGTAACAGGCTTCTTTCTAATTGCAGATATCCTTCAGCAAAAAACCATTCGTAAGGGCTACTTGACTTCAAAGGGTGTAAGGATTACTAAGCGGTCATCTATGAATAGGACATTGCTTTCGGACACATGCTGTTTCGGGTTCCTCTTCGATAAAGATAGTTCTTGAGTGCATAGCTTCAGCCCTTCGTTATATTCTTTCCTATCTACTTGCTTTGGGCACAAAGTGAGTAGGCTGTTTATCAGCACCGATAGAAAAATGCCAAAACACACATGGACGATTTCACAGATACTGTTTAAAATTTCGTGTTTTGGAACGTTTCCTTCAAGGGTTTCGTGACTTTTATTCAACCGGACTTATCTTACAAAATACCGCGCGCTTCTGGAAATCTGCCAAATTTCAAATCACTGCTATACAATCAAAGATAGCGTTTGTCTCTGGTCGTAAAAACACCGATAAAAGTCGATCACCGAATCCCACAGAATGTATCCCGCATAAAAACAACAGAAATTCCCAGGCGCTCGGAAACATAGGATAACTAGAACGAAAGTTATGTTGTAACCTTGGGAACTGTACACTGTCAGAGAACATCGTGGGAGCAGCTACTGCCAACTGTAAATCAAAATTATGGGCTAATGAACAACAGCTATACATCTACTCCAACGGGAAGCGCCGATTTCATTACGTCCTCAGCCTCCACCCCAGAATAGATATGATTATACCACATTTGCTTAGAGGTGATTAATGTAGATATGTCTGCTGGGAGAAACACAGGTGAAACATGCTTTTTTACCGTATAACTTGAGAGTTTGAAAATGTCACAGTGATATACCACTAAACAGCTATACCGTCAGACACTCAACAGTGCATACATATGCACGAAAAAGTAAGGAGTAGTGTAGGTGAAGTTCTTTGGACTTGGCACCAAAAGCCTGAAGGAAGTCCAAGGTTATCTCAAATGACTAATCAAGATGAACCGGAAATGTAGTTGGAAAAAGCCTGCGCTTCAGAGAGTATTATTTTGGTATTTTTTTCATAATACCGTAATATCCATAAACTAGGCCCTTACTTCTGTTACGCAGTTCAATATAGATGAAGGGATTTGTAGCAGAAATATATAGCAGATATTTCACTCTATTCTGATAGTCCGAGAGCCACCTCACAGATGTTTCAGCATTATTGGAAAATGTAAAGTAAGTGTATCTATCGAAATTCCATGAAGTTTCAAACCTGCCACCTCCCAGATAGTGATGTGCGATAAATGTGCATTTCGAAAAGATGTGTTCAAATTAATAGCTATGAGGGTATGGCTTCTTGGGTTTTGATGAGGCAAACACTGCTGATGTTTTCCAGCAGCGATAAAATAGCCTTTTCAGCGTAAACTAGATTCGCTTACTGGTCGAAATATTCATTGCATATTCCCAGACTATCTTACCCCACAATGGTCTGTCACCACCTCGGTGGAAGAATTCAATTCATGCTACGGGTGAAAGTTGTAGTCAAGAAGTCGCCATTTGAGAGAAAGACAACACATTCCACCAAGTAATATGACCCTCGGAGTGAAGGACGGGCGACACCAGATCCTGTCCAAGGTTATCAGTAGTGCTCACAGTGCCCTCGATAAATAGCTATTGAACACTATGTGTTCCCTCATATGACGCATGGTTTCAAGCTCGTTATAGGCAGTGACGAATCGGTTGTTTCTGTTCACTCCATCCTGACAAACCCTCAAGCAATCTAGCATACAAACATTACTGTGGTGAGTTGTATGCACCCTGTTTGTACGAAATCCACAGAGAACTAACGGTTGTGGATGTACTGGAGTTTGCCCACGCCTTTGAGCTCATGGTCACGTGGTATGATACGACTTCACTGCATGGAAGACCATCTGTCATTGGTTTACAAAAGCCAGTTCGACGAACATGGCCATACGAAGAGAGATCACTTCCGAGGTTGGAATAATAACAGCGCTTGGACTGGCAACATGCAGTGAGACGGCAAAGACCAGCCAGTTGTTTGTCACATTCGATGTCTGACACACACCTCTCGTCGCTCATGCGGAAGACTGATAAAGTACCTAGCATGAAATATCAGAACAATTAGGTGGTCACAATCTGAGAAAACTCATTCCAACCTGATATTGAGAGTAGCATGAATCAGTTAAGTGACTTGGAGATTTTCCTAGGATTTTGTCCAGAGGGAATACCACAACATAGCTGTAGGCAGAGTAGATAGGTTTAGCGACCATGATATGTTGTTGTAAACAGACCTCCAAATTCATCACCTCATGACTGTCATTGACAGTGATACACCGATAACACATACTTGAAATGAACACTGCTCAATGGTCTCCACTATATTGGAGACCCTAGTCCTGTTCAACGCTAAGTCTGAGAACTGTTCTCAATAAAGAGTTTATGGAATGTAACATTTCAGTTCGCAGGGTATTTATTACGGCTTAGTCTGTTTAGCAATCGTCCGTTCACCTACATGCATGACCTTTATAGGTCGCTTGTAAAGGAAGCTTCTTCTTAGTATTTCTGATAGAAAGAGTGATCGAGTGAGTCAACCGCAAATATACTACGGACACCGCAGATTAGGGATTTACCTCAACGTTTCTTCGTTTTCAGCTTCGCTGGGCCTCAAATGAAAATCCAGAATCGTACACACAGACAGAAGTGGAGGAAGTACTGGAAAGCGAAACAGTAACTCACGTTATTAGTGGTGAGTTACTAGATAAATATTACATACGTTTTTTGACGATCGGTTTCACGAGTTTGGTGTAATACGATTGTTTTTTGGAACTTTTGCCACCTGAGATTTCAACAGTTTTTGTTGTCCAAAAAGGTGCACTACCCACTGGGTAAACAAATACATGCATTCCATTATTGGTTTTGATGTACGCGAACATCAGCTCAGTATTCTTTGTATGCACGGCAAGCATAACCGTCTTCTCTGCTGAGTTCAGTTCAAATGGCTTCACAGAAGTGATTTGATCTGAGAGCTGCTCGCTCCACGGAGGAAGCTTACCTCCATCAACTTTCATTTATACTTCATCCTCGTCTGTATTTTCTTATAATCCATCCGCGAAATACAAGTGGGTCTACACAAGGGCAGTGTTAGGCTGCGATATACCGTTAGCTTACTGTGCGCTGATAGCATCACTTGGATTGTTGACGAGAAATGTGCATAAAACTTGTGTAGCTCAGCTTATAGAACAGCGGCTGCAAGAACTGGTTCACACGTATGCATGATCAGTTAGGATTGATGAATCAGAGACATATGATAGAAAAACAGGAATTCATTGCAGTGCCTTGCTAATCACCTTGTGGCAAGTCTAACACTTTTCAACCAACCATGAGTTCATCTGACGTTGGGATAAATTCGTCATGAGCCTTGGTGGCTAGGATATACTGGGGCCTGATGAACTGGCACTAAAGTGCACACCGATTTGTCTTGGTGAGAATGCAGAGGCCGGTAGATATCTGCGGTGAAGAATGCCATAACGACGTACGTTGTACATTCTGTGGACGATACCAGGCCTTCATATGGTGCTCACCTTCCAACCGCTCTCTCAATTTTCACGTTCATTCTGATTATTCACCTAGTCTTTTGGTTTGCTGGTTTCTACGTAACTCTTAATTCCATAAACTACAAATTTATATTTCACCAAGCTCCACAGGACAAGCAAACCTACATCCTAAATTTTCAGTCACATGAGTAGTGTAACTGATCCAGATGAGTCAAACGTTTCTAGATTTAGCATGAAGCACATGCACAGGATATTGCATGTAGGTTCCCCATGGTCTTCCCACAAAGCTTCTATTATTAGCAGTCGCAGGTGGTGCTCCTTTTTCGTTTTTCATTCGGCTTTTCGGAAAGAAATTCAACTAGCGTGAGAAAGATCAGCTTGTTGGGTCGTAACGCTTAAAAGTAGGGTAGAAAGGAAAAAATACTCTTAGCCTTCAGCGAACTATCAAAACGTACGTAAAATACCTTATTTACTAATGTCTGACAGTGTGTTCCACGTCTCCACATTGTTTGCCATGGCACTTAAGGTGTGAGTTCAGTAACGAAGAAGTGAGGACCAACAGTTCTGCTTTACCCTGATTTAGCCATGAAGGTTACAATCTATCTTGCTAGTCAAGACATGTTCTGGAGGTTCATAAATGTAGCTGAAGGTTGATAGTATTTTCAAGTACAGATATGCCGGCGTGGCGTTAAGGACCTCAGTCAAGTATTGCATTACAAACCTCTTCCGACATATCTTTGCAGCAGAGTGTTTATTTTCAAACTACCAGTCTTGGCCCATACGTCATCCGATCAGTGTAACACTTCATTTGATTACAGTTTGAAGTCTAAGTAGGAGAGGATAACGGAGACTCAAGCACGAAGACACTGGACTGTTTTGAGATTTGTATGCCTCTGACGCATTGAGTCCTACTGTGTGATACAGTCTTTCGCACCGGTCGGTCATTGGTTAGAGGTCTGACCAACACAGCTCATGTTTCGCCAGACTGGAGGTTAGAACATGTGTGACGACCTGTTCTTTAAAAAAAGGAGCCGGTGAGATTTGTCACCACACGCCTGCGGTTAATCCGGCGTCGACAGCCTCTGACAGTCTTTATACCTCTGTGCTCTCAATGTTTCCACTCTGAGGCACTCTGAGGCCACAAGCTGGTTCTGCCTCGCACTGAAATCCATTGACATTACTATCTGCTCCCTATTAGAAAGGAGAATTCAAGGTGATGCACAGCAGTTGAGCTAACCGCCTCATCACTTTGACTTAGCTTCCAGCTGCGCACCTCTTTATTCAGAGTCGCTGCGGCAGGATGTGCAGGGTTCGGCATTTTCTTCAGGCAGCGAGCGAAGGGATCATTGCTTTACTGAATGCCCGCTGATGGTCAACTCTGTACGGTTTGTCTGGCATTATCTGTGAAGCAGTCTTCCGAATGGGAAGCTGATCATTCTGTATGTCTTGTCTCCACACGCCCAAACAGTTTATGGCTCCGATACCATCAAAAATAAGCAGTCTGTCGCCTTAAATAATCTGTTACGGCAATCTGAGAGCTCAGATATTGCTGTGGTTACCGGGGATCTGAGTGCACATGTGGACAGTGTTGAGGTTCCCAATACGGAACTTTGAGTGACGCGTAGGTTCGACAACAAACCTCAATTGTTCACGTTCGTAGCGTCGACAAGTTCAGGGGTCTGTCAGTGACCTGCACAGCGCAGTGTCAGCATCCGTACACCAAACAACGGTGAGCGGAATGATGCCTCAGTAGCGTGGGTTACGGTCATCCCTTCCGAAGACAGTCTGTGAATCCCATGGGCCGTGCGATCGCACGGAGCTCATGAGAAAACAATTCAAGGCAGGCTAAGCAAACGGGACTTGAACGCGCAGCGGCAAGTTGGTGAGCAACGCACATTCGCACACAGACACACATGTTGTCAACACACAAGTGTCGGACAGGGCGCCTCCGCGGCAAAGTGATTGGTGGGCGCGGATAAGCAAAACAACTGGAGATCAAAAGTACATAGGAGTAAGCAAATGAATGGGGGAACTATCATAAGATCAAGCTAACGAATGTACGCTCATTTGCAAACTAATTTGGTTTTTCGAGACACTCACCTGGAACCAGGCTGAATCTCCCGGTTTTGATGTGTCCAGGCAACTGAAGGCGCTGCACCAGGCCGCACCGTTTCAGTCGCTACAATATTCGAGATACCGCAATACATATATATTTTTGTAATGCGCTACTCATAAGGTTGCTGAAAACACCTCGACAGCCCACGACCGGTTTCACCCTTCTTGGGGCTGATCATTTAGGCGCAGTCCCCGAGTTCCCGTCAGCCTTATGTTCTACTTGAAACCAAGTTGCACGAAAGTAGCGAATATACGCTTATTTGCAAACGAATTTGGTTTTTCGATAGACTCACCTGAAACCCAGCTGAATCAAGGTCAAGTCAGATTCAACAGACAGTCTTAGCGGATGTGAGACTTAATTGGGTGCTCGACATGGATTGGTTTCAGTACACACGGATAATTACAGAGGACTACTTCAAATGTGTGCAGATGGCAGTGTTTTTGTACAATACTACCCCGCCTGATATCAATTTATACTGAAACAATGTCGCCTTATCTTTGCTCAGCGCTGGGAGCTTGGCCTGTGGCACGGCGCTACCAGGTCCGCTCAAGCAGTGAATATAAGAAAGAATAGTGGAGCTCTTCGAATTTCGGACAAACCTTCCAGTATATTTGTGCGACGAATTATTAGGCTCTAAGACCCACTTGGCATGCGTGCCGAAGGTAGATTCTGACGGACACGGAATTTTAAGGCAGCGGATTAGACCCATGTAACTGGGACCGCCCGAAAAGTGTATCCGTGCCACCAGGCTCTGGATACCGTGATGTTCACCCTACATATGGTGTTTATTGAGAGTGAAATTTTATATATTCAGGTCATTTATTGGACCGAAGACTCTGCAATACAAAGCAAAACTCTGCACTCTTATTCCGATGTGAACGTCCAGCGGAGACTAGGGGAAGAAGCCACCTGTCAATTGATTCAGTATAGGAAGTGAAGAAGTACTCTCGGGTTGAACATTTGCTTAGACGATAAGGAAAGTAAACCAATCTGTACTGATGTTCACATGATATACAGTTTTGTCCTTTTTTGTACACTCTTTGTACGTTACACATCAAAGTCGATATGCAAGCGATTTTAAATGCCATATATGGCAAACTTTCTGGTAGCGTAGGCAGCCTCATGAAGATGTGTGTGGTTAGCGTATGACACCTGTGCGATAATAGTCACAAATAAGGTGATTTACAAACCCGTCCGGGAACTAGGTTGGCTGTTAAATAACATGCACAGATTAATGTAGCATGGTATTGAAAGGCTGATCGGACGACACTGCAGGGGAATATGAGCATAACACAACGGAAAATACATCTCCTATTTGTATTTCTATTCATTTCGGACCAAGAAATCAGAAACTGTTCTCAGTTAATTTGCGTGACGTTGTAACTCCCTGAATAACATACGTTGCTAATATGCATGCTGTGCTCTCGAATGGCTTCCTTGAAGCTAACGTGTTCATTTTTTTGAATGCCTTGATGACAATTTAAGTAAAATTGTCTGCCATAGTGCTAGGGTGAGCAACCCAAATGTGTAGGATAATGTTCAGCCTGATCGGTCTACTGGTAACGCCAGTAACTCGCTAGGTGCCAAACTCCGAATCTTCTCGTCTTTCGTGAGTTGACTGAGTTCAGGCTAAGGTATCGCATATTCCTACATGGTTGCACCTGGAACAGGTTAGCGTGACCCATTTGGGCTGATGTGTTGCGCTAAAGTGGTCATATTTCCAAACAGTAGTGCAGCGGAGAGGTAATCTTTTATGGGAAGAAAACGTGATATTTCCCCTAACGGATGTTTTCATTCTGAGGAGAGTAAGCCCTGGTGGTCTCTGGTTTGTTTATTGATCTGGGTACCTTGACTGCATATGATTCATTTTCAACGGAGTTGAAATTATTAGTGCGTTGTTGGAAGTGGAGTGGGGAGTAGCGATTGGTCAAGAGTTGTGCGTTGAGTAGTGTTGTGTGTTTGTTAATCCACGTGCTGCTAGTCAGAGTTTGAACTTTGATAACGATTCCGTCGGGCCACTCGTAGATCTGTTATCCGGCGATCACATGATCCTTGATCATGGCCTCCCCTGTTGTC